ATTATGTTAATTAAATTAATTACTCTGAATTTTCAAATATCTAATAGATTTACATTATCCCTTCTTTATAGCCTTTTCTAGATCCTTTGATAGGCTTAGACATTTTTTGGCATCACTGCTGCAGCTGTCGAACAGTAATGTTGTTGTTGTGGGCTCTTTTCCATTCCCCACTCTCTTCCTCTGTTATTCCTTTCTCTCATTTTAGCGATGCTCCTTTGGGTGTTGTTGGTCTCTTCTCTTCAACTGGCGCACTCTCCTCTCGTGACGTATTGTAACCTTTGGAGGTTAAATGTGAGCAGCGGAACCCGCGAATTGTGCCACGCCAAAAAGGGGCGAGTTGGAGATGGGGGCGAGGCGCCGACGCATTGGCTTTGGCAGGAACACGGGATATAAGGATATAAGGTATCAGGACATGGTCGTGGACATATCCATTGCGCTCTTCCGTTGGCCGTTATCCTTGCAGCCAACTCGAACGTGTTGCGTTCGTCTTGCAACCTGTTCGTTACTCTCTCTTCCTGCCATCCGCTCCCTCCCAATCAACTCCTCCCACTCGCACTTCCACGTGGGTGTGCTTCGGCCATAAAAAGCATCTGTGTATGTGTATGTGTGTGGGCTATATCTCCGTATCAAAATCAAACTGATTCAGCATCTCCATCAGTATTAGTATCAGTAGCAGCTCTGCCGACGTCGCTGCCCCTACAAATAAAGTGAAGCCTCCCTTTCGCTTAAACTACATTCTAGAGTAAGAAAAACATTTTTTAATTATTTCTTTGGCAGAAGTTAAGAAAGCATTTTGTAATCAATATGTTAAGTTAAAAAAAAGTTTTTCCTCATTTTAAATATAATATTGCAAGTTGAAAAATATTTGATGTTTTCAGTTTTTTTTTTTCCATGACCACAATCTAACTTTTAAAGTTTTATTGCTAGTTCAAATATGGGTGGTTGAACTGTACATACACTGGATGCCCAAAAAGGGGGAATTTGTGGGGCTAGTGAAGCTATGGAGCCGCCTGTCGCTGCAATGATTGAGATTAGTTTCCATTTCTTAATTGAAAAGTTGCTCTAATCTTTTGATATTTGTGGAAATTTGCCACAGAAATTTATCAATTTTCCGGCCCAGCCTTGACCGCCTTGGCGCCCACTTCGCCGCCCGTCTCCGCCCGTCTTCGGCCAACCCCCCTTCTCCCAACTACAGTTGCCCTCCTCCCCGCTAAACTGCCTTGAACAGAAATCGCCCTTTGGGCTGCTGTCGCTGCACTGGAAAAACAATTGCGGCCAATGGGTGGTGAATCTGATGCCAATTAAGAAAAAGGTAAACTGCCAGAGGAAGGCAAAGTTTTAAATATCCTTTCATGACAAGTTCTGCTGATAATATAATGAGGACATTTCGCGCACACTTAAATTCAACGACAAAGTTTGTTTGGCACTTAACATGGCAAAAATGAAATATGTATGCCTGAATTATTTGTAATTAGCATCCCTTGATGCTTTATCTGTGGACTTGTCTCGTTGTACAAAACTTTATGGTAAGCTTTGGTATGACATCATTCATAGATTTAAATTATATTTAAATTAAAATGATAGTGTTGGCTTGGAAATAACAATTGCTGGTGGTTTTGAAATTTTCAAAATTATATAATTAAGCTGCCTTCAAATGGGACGTAAAATATAGTATTCCGATCTATTTATGTATATTCAAACAAGTTTTGATAACTTTTAAAAATCTTTGAATATATCTGGAACATAATTGAACATCAGATGCAGAAGATGGGATGTTTTTTTTTTAGATTCTCAAACCAGAAGGCATGTTGATTCGCAGTGTACGATTGTTAGCTGCTGCTGTTGTAGTTGTTTTATTCCCTTGGCCAATCTCCTCGTCCCCCAAACATCCCGTTCCACTCCCTTTGCCCGCTGGCTCTTTTGGTTGGAAAGGAAAAAAGTAATTTTGTGCAACGATGCGACGACCCTTGGCCAAAAAAAAAAAAAAAAGACACAAAACAGAAAAAGAAAAACAACAGCGGGAACAACAACAAAATTGTAATGAGAAACCTTTTATGGCTCGAACACATGCTCGCTTTTCCACCCACCCCGCCCACTATTCACCTCCCCCAACCATCCAAAAAGTCAAGTTATCTCTTCTGTTCTCTTCTCGTTTGCCTTTTAGTCGTAGTCTAATTTTATTTGGTTTGCTTTGCGCTTCATCTGCTTCTCCATCTCCTTCATCTTCGTCCACTTCTTTCTTTTGTCTACTTAGAATTAATAATTTTTGTTGTTTTTACTTCTTTTTTTCATCTTCATCGTGTTGTAATACAATATGTTTGTAGGTACTCTATATATGTACAGCTGGGGTCAAAATATTAGTAGTAGGTGCTTAGGAAACCAATTTTCGTTACAAGTGGTAACAAAGTTGAAAAAAGGTTTTAGAAAAGCATGTTTCCCTTTTTTTTTGTAAGTACTTAATATTTTTTGACAATTCTCAAAAATTTGACCTTTATATTATAATTTTGTTACATTTATGAGTAAGTAGAAAAAATTTAGAAAACTGCTTTTTAATTTGTATGAATATTTCAGTTTGAGCTTTGCCCTGATTGAAAATCAAAGACCTTTTATTTTATAAATGTTTTCGAAATTTGATTTGTTTAATTTTTCAAAGGCCCACTTCTATTATTTTGACAACAACTGTAGTTGTTTTTTTTGCGTTTTTTTTTTGCTTGTTTGGTAATTTATATTACAAAATAAAAATCAAAAAGCTAAACGGGGTGGGGTCGCGTTTGGGGTTAAGGATGGGTGGGAGTTTGACGCACGGCTAAGGGTTAAGGGGAACAGAGGTGGAATTTGGCAAATGATTTGGATTTGGCAGGTGTGCCCTCTCTTTTTTCTCCTCTCTCCCACTCTCCCGCCGAATTTCTTTTGTGTTTGTTTGTTTGGGTGTGTGTCTTTTGGGGCGTGGGCGTGAGTGTGGGCGTGTCCATTGGGAGCATTGGAGCATCTTTATCGAAATAACATTGTAATTGCTTTTTGATAAATGAAGCACGCGCTGCACAACTGACAGCCGAACAACAAAAGCAACAAGAGGCAACAACTAAAACAAACAGAGAGCGGGAGTGAAATGTATAGATACCGCACTAGAATTACCCTCTCTTTTTATTTTCGCTAAGATCAAAAGCAGTTGGAAATTCAATTCCTAATTGGGAACAAGTGGGTTCCAAGTGGACTCGGAGCTGGGATTGCCTTACACTGGAGTTAAATTTCAAATATTTCAAAACAATCGATTTCGAATCTTAAATATTTTATAAGAAGTATCTTAATAACTATTTGTTAACATTAAAAATTTATCTTTGTCTTAGCTAAAACATTATACATAAGTATTTTAATTGGCAGTTTTTTATTCCAAATAATTTAGGTTAAGTTTAAAATTAGATAATAAATTGGGAATATGATATTTATTCTTGAAAATCTGTGTTTTCAACTAAAACTTGTATCAGGCATAAAATTAAGTAAAAAAAAACGTAATATTTATTGCAATCCATATGTTGGTATTTTTATAAATATGCTTAGCTTATCAGGAAGAAGTTTATTTGGTTAATGTTTCTTTGTTTTTTTTCTAAGTTCAAAATGTTGTTTATCAATTAACATTTGTATTGAATATAATTACATACATCTAATTTGATATTCTTTTTTACATTTACTTGCAAACATTCAGAAATAAGTGGTATAAAAAATAGGAAAAGATTAAAATGTACATTTAAAGGAATCAAAGTTTAACACGTTTTTCAGTCCACTTTGTTTTTTTTTGTTTTTTTTTTATATTCTATATTTATATGTATTTATTTGGAAGATTTTAGTTGAGTAGTTGGATATGAAGGAATGGAATTCGAAGTACAGTAAATCAATAACATATATAAAAAAAAATGTTTAAAAAAAAACAAATTTTAAATATAGATTGACTGGTTTTGAGTAGGGTGGAGACCATAATAGATGTTTATGCTGCACAGCATGCACTGACTTTTCTTAAAGGGTATTTAGTGGACATGCCTTTGCCCCTAATGGGTATTGGGGCTATAAAAGCAAAATCGCTTGGACGTCTCACTCAAGTGTCGCCCAGACCTAATACCGCTCCCCTCCCTCCACCCTTTAACCCAATATAGCCCCTTGGAAAGGAGAGGGCACCACGCACTCTGGGAAGACAATTTAAAATGTTGAAAAATGCTCAGCTAATTGGCAGTTGACAGCGTCGAGAGCCTGGGATTGGCTTGGCCCACAAAAAAACAACACAGACATCGGCGAGCAGGGGTTAAGAGGCGGGGGGAAGGGGAAGGGGCCGGGGTCCGGGAGCTGTAGGGGCATATAAATTTAATTTGGTTTATAAAAAGTGCTTGAGAATGTTTAGTGGGGGGAAGGCTGAAGTGGTCGAGCGAACAACAGCTGAACAAAAAGGGGGATGATGGGGCAGCAGAGGGTTAAGGGGATCGGATCTAATGGCAGCCAAGTGGCCATCAAAGCCAACCCCCTTTGCTAATCCAAAAAGAGATTAAAGCCAACAAAAAAAAATTAAAGTTAAAAAAAAAAACGTCAAGAAATTAAAAATAAAAAAATAAATAAAAAACGACAGACGGAAGAGTGGAAAAGTTTCGATGCCAAAGAGTGAGTTTTTGCCAAAGAGATGAAGAAAGGAAAAGTTTTATCGGAAATTCTTCAGAGAATACTTTTCCGGCTGCGGCAAAGGAATTTTTCCATTTCATCTAGCCAAAGAAGTTTCTCATAATCGACACGACCCCTTACACAATCAACCCCCTTGCCTTGAATGCATTTGCATATCCCAACTCTAATTTATATGATAAGTGGGAGGTCGGCAGGGGAAAAAATAGAAGACAAGAACGGGAGACACAAAAATCGATGCCTTAGTTTTTTGATTATAAAGGGCGTTATGTGTATATGTATATGTATATGTATATATTCCCATGCCAACCCGTAACAAATAAAAGTAGCCAAAAATGAGCTGCAATAACAAATCAAATTATATTTACATAATAAACGAATAAAGGATAAATGTTGAAAGGGTACCGCACTTCCGCTTCCATCCTTCTCGTCCGAATTTATTCATACACAGTATATATCTAAAATGTGATTGGCATATTTTGTATTTAGTCTTAACTAGTCTCTGCCACAAAAAAAAAAGAAAAGAGGTAACACAATTTGATCGCTAAACTAAAATTAAACTAGGACTGTATTATATGGCAATGAGTTCAGACTCCAAAAAGTTCTCACTCCAGAGATTCCATTGGGGGAAGATTGGTTGCGACTTATTAAAGTGGATGGGAAAGTAATTTTAATTTGATATATTTCATTGAAATTCTCTAATTCATACTACAACCATTGGAGCAGACTTTAAAAACATTCTATTTCCCGTATTGGAAACATCAAAAGCAGGAACACTCCATTCTTCTTTTCTAAAATAAAAAATCCTTTAACTTTCCTTGAAATTTTCAAACCATTCTCCCCCCTGGAAAAACCTTACATTTTTCTAAGGCCTCCTTAAAATGATAGGTTAACAAAACAATGGATCATTAAATATAAATAAATTAGGGCTAAAATATTTACAGGCATTTTGCGTAGCGAAGTTTTCTCAGCTTAGATCTTTAATTAACCGTATTAACCATAGTTTAGTTTAGTTAGTTAGTTACTTTGTTACTTTGTTTTTTACATGCTCAAGTACAGTAAGTCAGTTATAATAGTTTACTTTGTTGTTAATTCAATTGAGTTTGTTTAGGTATAAACATTTAAAAATTTTGAAAAATATTTACTTTTGATTTAAGTTGACTTTTTTTTCTTTTTAAATTGTTAATTCTTTTGTTTTGTTTTCTTTTAATGTACTATGTTTCATTTAAGATTTAAGACGACGAAAAATGGAAAAGAGATGCATGATATTTTGTATTTGTATTAATTGGTTTTTTTTTCATTTGTTTTTAACATGAGATAAAAACAAATGTTTTTGTTTTGTTTGTATGTTTGTATGTTTGCAAGCGAGCGACGACGATTGACAAAAAATTTGTAGCAATTTGTTGCATTTAGTTTGGTGTATGTAGTTGGTTGGCCGCAGGCCCCTAGTCTATAATATAATTCAATATATAATAATATATAATATAATAATATATATATATATTTATATCCGTAACCGTAACCGTAAACGTATCTGTATTTGTATCTTTATCTGTATCTGTATCTGTATCTTGATCTCTGCACTTGTATCTTTAGCTGCGTCTGTTTGTATAACTATGATATATATGTATATAGTAAATGCGTTAAGTGTATAATATATAGTTGTTATATGTATATAGAGCTATGTATGTATGTTAATCATGCGTGTATATATGACTGCGCTGGTTTGGCATTGGGATCTACGAATGGCAGAGGATAAAACTTAAACTTAATTGAGCGAAATTTGCTTGACTTTTAGATCCGATCCGATTCGATCCGATTCGATCCGATTCGATACGATCTGATCTGATCTATTATATCGAACCATAAGATAGGGATAGGGGGCTAACTAACGCGTTAAGGGGTATGTACACAGTTGTCTTTGCTTCCTTTTGCTTTTTGGGGTGCAGAATATCACATAGTCAGACATCTATATATATACGACTACAAGTTCTCCGGGTACGCCGCCTTAGACATGCAGCGTGGAGGCGTCCAGTGAGTTCCTGGAGCAACTGGAGCTCCGACCTATCAACGTGGCCGTGTCCGCACTATCCGCATCCAATGGGAACCGCTTGCGCTGCGGACGCAGGAAGAGGAACATGACCAGCAGGGCCAAAAAGAAGGCCAGGGCCCCGAAGGCCGGATAGACCACTCCGCCCAATTCGCTGGGCGTGGGCAGGGCACTGATTATATACACCCGGTCCGTGGGTCGGACGTGAACACGTTGCGAGTGCTCCAAGGGATCTGAATGGTCCACGGACTGCCCCTGGTTCCTTGTAGTGCTTGAAGTGCTTGGAGTGGTCGAGGTCGTGGTCGTTGTTGTGCCCACCAACTGACTAGTGTCCACATTCAGTTTAATCGAACGTCGCATCAGACCCGTGAGCTATCCGATAGAAATGTGAAGAAATAATAACAATGATGTGAATAGTTTAATATGCATTCGTTGCCTCACAATAGATAGTTGCTAAACGCACCTCATTATCTCTAACCCAATTTAATTAATCTTCTATCTCTAAGTATGTTTTGTATACTCTTAGCAAATAAAAAGTTCTTTACTTGTGCTTGCCCCAGAAATCTCTAGATATTATCTCTAGATAACAATAGAAATTTTCTATTTCCTAACCCATAAGACTGGTTGTGCTTTTAATTTTCAGTTGGTTTATTTAACCACTTAATTATCATGGTATCTACCAAGCATAGACTAAAATATCCACTTTGGCAGTATTATGTTCCAACCAATTAAGACAAATTTTAAAAAATATTCCTGATTCTTAACTTCCAAGATATCTACCAAATGTGGGCTCACATTTTTCAAAGTAAAAAACCCCAATTATTGAAATCCTTTCATGTAGTGCTTATTTACTACAGCTCTCTTGTTTATACTTAGTTGCAAGATATTTATGGAACATGGACTCACCTTGTGCTTGCACTTGACCTGGATGTTGTAGACGGTGTCCGGCCACAGGGACAGTTCCGCCCGAGCGGTGTCCGTGAGTAGATTGCCGATGAGGCCGCCGCCGGACACTTCCCAGGTGATCAGGCACTGGCGCGATGCATTCGCTATCATCTCGTCCCAGCCGATGTCCGTGAGGACGAGCGACTCCTGGCGCTGGGCCTTCAGGATCCTAAGCTCGAAGGGGGCCACCAGTTTTTGGCAGCACTGTGCGGGGGGGAAAGGGGGGGGCATTGCCAGGACGAGAAGGAGCAAGCAGCAAGGACAACGCCCGAGGCAGGACACGAAGCGTTAAGGAAAATAAAGGGAGAGAATGGAAGGAAAGTTAGCTATTTGTCAATTATTTCTTGTAATTATGTGGCGCGCCCGCAGGTAGGCAATGAAATTTGTTCATCCTTCGGTTGCCACTTTTCGCCCCCGAGCGACAACGTTTAACCCATTAAGGCCTGGCCGTTTCATTTGGATGATTCATGTCCCTGCCGTGTAAGTGCCTAAAAATGTTTACGGTTGGCAATTTGGTGCCAAGGAATGGAAACCCTTTTCAGCCGGTTTGCGATAATAAATGTAGATTTAATTTCGAGCATTTAAGGAGATACTCCTCTGGAGGAATTTTGAATTTGTCAAATTTTCGAATAAAATAAAAGCAGGTATGGCAAAAAAAAAGCCGTGTTTTGCATTTAAAATGATTTGAGTTAAAGGATATCAAAGTTTTTGGTAGAAAGCAAGTTGAAGTTCAAAGAAATATATATTAAGTTATTATTAATTTAACAATTTTTTTTTTACTTTTATATTGAATTTAGCAATGGTAAATGCAGCTTTCAAAATCATTAAATTCTCAAAGAAATAAGTTTAGCTCTAGTCTACTATATCTCAAATGCAATATATGGACAGATTCCAGAGAGTTTATACATTTTCGTGCAGTTTGAGGCCAGCATTAATGGGTTAATGACATCGTTAGGCTGTCGCACAAAGACCAACATGGATGGAGATACTTACGTTTGTGCAATCAACGGAATCCTTACAATAATGCCAGTCCTTGGAAAGCTGCAAAGAGAGACAGGACAAAGTTAGTTAGTGGGCGTGGCCTAATCGAATTTTAAGTAAGCTAGGAAAAAGTAATCAGGCCCAAGACCCCGGGCTGCCAGGACAAACAACAAGGAGTCATCAGCAGACTCCTTCGCCCCCGGTTTCTATCTTATGGCCTCAACAATAGACGCAAATTTGTAACTTGTAATAAAAGGCAAAGCAGGCAGCAAAAATAAAAGTCTATGTAGATATACAGCAGCGGTCAGATGAATACGAAAGTTATGACGTATAATAAAAAGCTATTTACAGAAAATCTCTAAGAAAATCAGCAATTAAGGAATATTATATTAAACAAATTTATTGGTATAATATTAATACAAATTTTTAAGAAATCAAAACAAAAAATTAAAATGCTGTGAAAATATTTCTTAAGCTTAGGTGTGCTAAAATGTTTTGGTAACATTAATATAATTTTAAATAGACCATTGAGTAAAATAAGAATATAGCAATTTCAATATGAAAACAAATAAACCATTCAATTATGAAGGACATATTTTGGTTAATTGCTTGTTGTTTTGAGCAATTGTCGTAATCCCTCTGCTATTCTTCTGACCGTTTCTGTATTCAAGTAAATGACCACAAACGTTTGTGTTCGTCTATGGCGAATTGAAAATTTCACGCTCCTGGCAATGAGGATAATGAGGAGGATTGCCGTGACAGGACGAGGACGAGGATGAGGATGAGCATGACGACGATAGAAGGGAGAAAGGGAGGGGCAGGAGGATCGGGATCAAACCGGACTGCCTGCTTAGCCTTTGTCAACTGTCGCCTTAGTCTCAAGGCAGCTGAACTGAACGGAACAAAATAGAACAGCGGGCAGTACGTAGTATCAGGACCAGGACCAGTTACCCCTCCTTTCGAATCCCGTCCGCAGTCCTTTTATGAATGAGCCGCCAGAGAAAACGGACAGAAACAGATAGACAGACGGACAGACAGACAGACAGACGCACAGATGAATGGGCGAATGAGTCGACAGCGATTAGCGATGGGTGCGTGACAAATTGTTATGACTCCGAATTTACAATATTAAAAAAATCAAACGAGGCGGGCCAACCAGATCTCAATTCTTTGGGCATTTGTTTTCGGTTTCAGGGGAGGGTTAGGGTTAGAGCTAGAGTTAAGTAACCCTAATGTTGGTGCAAGCCAGATTTATGATTATTGCATTTGCCGGCATCACATTTATGAAATCTTTATCTGCAGTCTAATTCGATTGGTCATACTAGTTTATTTCGGATTCTAATTGAATTGTATACTATATTTTTTATAAAATGAAGTGTGGAATTTTATATGAACTAGGGCCTTTTTGTAGCTTTAAAATGACTAAATGATTATTTAGGCAGCTTAGTTGCTTTAGTTGCTTTAACTTTAAGTAAAATCAATAAAAATAATAATAGCTGCTCTAATGTTTGTTAAACATGAACCCGTATACATACCATTAACTTAAGCCTACAGTTGCGAAATATAATTGTTAAGATATTCCCCGAAAACATTAAATTACTCTAAGGTTTCTATACTTCATTTAATTTGACCTTTAAACACGAATCATCAACAATATTCCTCTAAAAGTATGTAAATGTTAAAAACTAAAATCAAATAAACATTAAAACTCCGACTTACTAACTGTGTAAATCGTTCTTTTTTCTAACATTTAAGCTATTCGGATATTATCTCTCTGCTCAATCGTTTCTTGGCAGCCTTAAGCCACTTCCTGATGCTATCCAGCTCTATAAGCCCTTAAATGCATCCGCAGTTTCTGCAAATGTAGCAGCCAGCTACTTGCATCTGGATCGATCATCCATCACCGCTGGCAAAGGAAAAACCCGCTGGACAATGGCTGCCATCACCTTTTGGGCCAACTTTGATGGCGGCACTTTGTCATCATTACACAATAAGGCAGGAAAATCAGGGAAACGCAAACGGAAAGGGAAAAGGAGCAGGAGCAGGAGTAGGAGCAGGAGGAGGAGGAGGAGGAGCAGAACCAAACCAAGCAGTTGTGGCAGATAAAAACGACGAATGCCAAAAGGAAAATCGCAAAGACAACATATTTTCCGCTCAATTGAATTTTTGGCCTCTGAAGATGTAGACGATGTAGTTGATGAGGGGACGATTGCGATTGTTACCAGGGACTGGGTCTGCTTCTGGAAATGGGTATGAGGATGTTGATGAGGACGAGGACGAGGACGAGGCCTGAACCTGAAACAACTTGGGCGATAAGTAACAACAATAAGGCGTTCAAAATGAATGAATAAACGAACGAATGAATGAATGAATGAATGACCGAATGACTGAATGAAAACGCTGAACTCGCAAATCTTTTGGCCGTCGGCTTTCCCTTTCCCTTTTCCACGATTTCCCTCACTTTCCACAGTCTCGAGCAGACGACTACCTGGCCCAAAATGTGTCTGGGCCATATAAATTAAACGCAGGCAGCGACAACTTTTACATGCAATTGCCCTGGTATTTCACACACCCGGTAACTGCACTTGAAGAAAAGTGTCAAAACTCCCACCTAAAATGGGAAAATCGTCTTTGATGCTCGATACATGGGGGAAAACATTTTTCAAACAATATTGCCTGTGCACCCGCACAGGCAGGTAAATATTGTAAACTCAGTAAATCCCAACAATTTAGTCTCTATTTGTTTTATTTTTCTAGATGTATTTTCAATCGTTTCCCAAAATGAAAACCTTTTCTTTAATAGTCTGGGAACAATGCAAATATATGCTAATTTAAGACAACGACAAATAACAAAGTAAGTTTAAGGCTTTTAATTATTTTTCAAGCGTTTTTCCTAATCCATTTTATTTCAAAATACATAACGATATAATTAACAATAATTTTGTGAATATATAATATTGATAAATATATATAATTAGGAGATTTGTTGTTTCTTAGTGTTGTTGTTTGACTTTGAAGAGTTGTTCAACCATGTATTTTTCGCAAGTGTGAAAGCCGGGCACATGACTCCGTAGGCCACATAAATTACAAAAGTTGGGTCAGTCAGTCAGTCAGTTTTTTGAGCGGCTTTTATGAGACACGTACGCATACGTAGATATATTCGATGATTCCACCACCAGCAGCGGCTGAACTACGTGCCTCGCATATACATCAAGATCGAATCTTCCGGCCGTCGAACCACCCGAAAAATCCACCTAAACAATTGGGTGCAGGGGCATCCAAACCAAACCAAGGCAAACCAAACCAAGCCGAACCACTGGAGCACCCATCGAACCATCAGCATCCACCCACGGTGACGGAGGAAAAGTCTTTCATGGTGTTAATTTGGCGCTGATTGAGCAACGTATTCGCATTCCCCGTTCTCGGGTCTAAATTCTCAGTTTTTGGGGGTTGTACGAAAGGATGGATGGATGGGTGGATTAGTTCCAGTTAGTCCTGCGACCCGAGCATGAAATTAGCCCTGCCTGCAACCCCTAAGAACTTTTGACTTTCGACGAGGCATCCTGCACCACTGGCATCGCCATCGCCATCGCCATCACCATCACTCCATCTCCATCTCCCTCACCACCTCCACCCATCCAAAAACTCTCGAGCGGACTTCAAAGGGCATATCCGATGGAGATGATGACGGTGATCAGGAATGCAGACAGCACACAGGCGAAAGCTTAAGTATTTCGTGCCTAAAATCTGCAATTTCGGACTAAATAATCAACAAAGATTGGCATAACTAAAGCCAAAAAGCCTTAGCCCATTTTAAGGAGCATTTCAGTGGAAGAAATTCATAGAGAACATCTGCCATTTCAATCTGAATAATCGGCAGAGATTGACATAAATAAAGCCAAAGTGGCAAAGATGTTTAAAGACTTCTCTCTATGTTGAGCTAATAAAAGAATTTCATATTTGTTAAGATTTTAATAAACTGCACTGATAACTTGTATGACCAATAATACAATAAGCTTTATATGTGTGCCATTTTTGTCTTACGCAATCTTTGAAAATGACACAGAGGTTATTTTACCTTTTACCACTATGCTTACATAATGAGTAATCGTACAATCTTATATCAAACAATATTTGGTCAAATTGCAGCTTCTCTTTCGAGTTAAATCAATAAACTTTGGGTCTATATTTGGAAGTAACTTAGCGTTCCGTTTCCCTAGAACGATTTCGAGTGTCGTAGACAGTCCGAGTGTCTTGGCCTCTCGAGTTTCATCCCATGTTTCTTTGTAAGTGTCGCCACAGCACTCATGAGCACTCCTCGAGTCAATTGGGTTGAATGCGCTGCTCCTCCTATGTTCTCCACTCGAACTGAAAGCCAAAAACCCCAGGCCCATCTGTACACCTCGTCGCCACAGAGAGTTCGGCTTACTTGGAAATCGGAGATGATATTTATACTCTCGTGTTTTTCCCACTTGATTTATGTGTACTTGGGCTGGAAGTTGGTCGGTTCGGTCGGTCGGTCGGTCCGGTCCGGTCGGATCGTATTGATATGAAAATTTGATTTGATTTCATTTGATTGAAATTTATTAACAATCCATAGTTGTCAACCTCCCCCACCTCTGTTTCCGATATCGCTGACAGATCAGCGCGGTTCCAGGAAGTCACGCATTAAAAAATCAACTGGTAAACTGTGCTGGAAATCTTTGGGAAACTTCGCCGTCTTCATTTCAATCCATCGGGGACGTATTCAAAATTATTTCGGTGGGGATCGGTTACACGAAATGGAGGGGAAACTGAAAACTGAATCCCTGGGGTTTCCAAGTTTGTTTAGGGGGCACACACAAGAAAGTGTCAACTCAGCGATTTCGGGGGTGAGTTCGATTGTAGTGGCATTTTCAACTTTGATTTGTCGGTTGCAAAACATTGTTATTCATATTGATTAGTTGGTTTTAGTTCTGTGTATTATTTGCCGATTTTCTTTTATTTAAGGAAGTATCAACTTGGATTTTTGCGGTGAGTTCAGCTAGTTGGGAATTATAATTTGGATTTAAGGCCGATTGTTGTTTTCATTGGTTTGTGATATTTTTGATATTAACCCATCTAAAGATTTTTATTTATTTCTCTTCTTTTAAAACTGCGAATATTTTTAAAATGTTTTTTCTATGAAGGTTTCTTTTGACCCAGCATTTTCAGCTGTCTTCGATTTTTCGCGGTCATTTATCAAAGTTCTTTCTTGAGATTTCTTTAGCTTCCTCCTCGGAGCCCATTGTTCTCCCCACCTGCTCTATTTTTCAAAAGGCATCTCCTTTTGCTTCGGCATTTCAACTGAAGTTCTTGGGCAACGATGTTGCCCATCCATATCCCTCGGTGACAGCTTTGTATTCGATATAAATTCGATGCGAGAGCTTTATTCCTGCGTGGCCGTGGCCGTGGCCTGTGCTTGGCCTTTTCCTTTCCATTGTCTATGTACATATATGACCGGCTCAAATTCAATTTCCCGATCTCTATTAGCGACGCTCGACCACCCAGTTGACATCTTTCTAGCGGCCGGCGGCTACCTGAGCAGTAAGTAAGGTAAAGGTAACAACAATAATAACCGGCAACAGAAGCAGCGGCGGCAATAGCTGCGATGTCAACCCGTAGATAAAAGATAAAAGACCCAGCAAGCGGGCATAAAAAATGACGTCGCTTTCTGGTTTTCTGGTGCCTTCACGAACCATTGTCATTGTCATCGACGTCTCCTAACCTTGAAGGTCGGTGCCGAACCGGGGCACAACTGTTCCTACACGCAGAGAAATGGAATGGGTTGGTCCGGGACCAATCCGGCATGACCTCAATTAGGGCAATCTTAATCGCATTAGGTAATACCTGAGCGGCAGAGCGTTGCACTCCAAGTGACTGGGCAAAGCCTCTGCGTTATGCAATATTTATTCTTTAAGTTGATTCAAAAGCTTATAAAATTAAATAATATTACATAGGCTCAAAAAACTTGTTTAGAGAACTTCAAACTTAAATCCCGATTGCAAAAAAAAAAACAATGGCTACAAAATCTACATAGAAACCATTAAGCCAATGTTTTCAACCCTAGAATTTCTTCGTCGAGGCAACGACAGCCGTTCTTTAGGTAAAGCGGTTTCCTTACTATTAATAAATGGGGAAAATAAATTATGCAGGACCCTTAAATGAATTTTTGAAAAATGAAAAGTTACAAGATGCATGCAAATTTACGATTGCTAATGATCATAGGAATATAGAAAATCACGTATACTTCTAAATCATGTATCTTGGGAATCGGCAAATCGATATTAAGGGTTAAAAAATATACATAATTTACCAGTTATTATGTTGTTGTTTGTTGTATGTGGTCTATGAATCTCACGTAAAAAAACAGGTTTAACCGTATTAACTTTGATTGGATCCGTCAATTTCAATTAGATTTCAAGCTATTTTAATTATGTGCGATTGCTAAATTTAATCGATCCTCAAAGATCATGTTGTTGACCTATGGTATTTTTCTCTGTGTACCCACCGCCTACCCTGCCGGCTATGTTATATATATATTGCCGCTCAACTGGGCATACAACTGTCCATCAGACGACGGATCGAAACGGATACGATCCAGGGCTTATCTTGGGTTTTGAGTTCAGAGTCTGGGGTTTCGAGTTGGACTTGGTTATTCGTATTCTTACCTGCTGATAGCAACTTTGACGGCATCTGTTCAGCTGTTTGCTGGCGAAGGGGGCGGGGGATGTTGGGTCCGCTCCTGGACTCGATACCGATACCGATGCCGATAGTGATAATGATTTCGATCGAGCTGGCCCCGCCTCCTGGGCGACGGAAAGGGCGGCAAGGGCGCAGGCCATCAAAACAAGTGAGTGGAACATGTTGTCTGGTTCTTCTTCTTCTCCTCCTTTTTCCTCCTTTCTCGTCCTGCCACTCCCTCCTTTTTCTCAAATGGGCGTGGGCGTTGACTCGTGTGTGTTGTGTGTTTTTGTGTGTGTTTTGCCGTGTGTGTGTGGGCGTGGAGAGCGGTGTGCTCAGCAGATTGATTAATTGATTGATTTTGTTTGTTTATTTTCGTATCAAGTGTTGTTGTTGTTATTGGGGCTGGCACATAATAATCGCAGCGTAGACTGCATTTAGTGAAGCGTAGCGGTAAAACCTCTTTCTCTCTCTTTTTCCTTCTCCTTCTCCTCCTCCTTGGTATCCCCCGTTAACTGTTACAGTTAACTGAAGCTCCACATGCTGCGCGACAACAACAAAACGTTGCCTCTTTATTTACTTATGTTTCTTTTTGTGTTCTCTCTTTATAGCTCGCCTTATTTGTTTGACTTTGTTATTTAAGTACAAATTCAAGTACACTGTTAGCAACACACGTGAAAAAAATAATTGTAACGTTTGTTAAATACCACCCGAAAAATACAGAACAGCAATAACAAAAACACACACCCGAAAGACGACGAAAAACGCGACGGAAAAGAGAAATATAATGTATACGAGCGCGAAATTTGGAAATTTCAAGAGCCGAACAAAACAACCAGCCTGGACGAGGGTTAATGCAGCTCTGGCAGCAGAGAGAGCACAAAAACTGAAAACCGAAACAGCAACACTAAAACTCAGCCCAGAACTGTCAGGCTGCGAGATAAAAACAACAACAACAATAGTAACAACATCGCACTATGGGGCAAACGACTACTTTTTGTGGCATTAATTAATAACTTAAAAACGAAGCAATTTTATCGGGTTTTGTTCTTTAAATTAAGTATATGATACGAAAGCTAGGTTAAAAAAAAATTTTAGGGATATTTTTATTTTGCTAAATACAAAAATTAAATTAATCTAAATTAAAATTTTGTGTTTGCAATATTTAAGATTAGGGTTATTCCTATCCATCGAGATAAAAAAAAATATATATTTAAAAATATATATTTAACTTTTAAAAAATGGGTTTTGGCCAAAAAATGTAGTCGTTGGCCCCATAGTGCATCGATGGCAGCTGTGAGCATTGCTCTCGAACTCGAGCACCGATCATGTTGTCATCGAGCATGTTGCAGGGCAGGAGTTTCCAGTTGGCAGGTTGCAGGCTAGAAGTTGCAAGTGGCGGAGTCTGTGAGTCTGTGCTGTGTGCTTTGTGTTGTCATGTGTTGGGTGGGGGGTTTGGGGTTGGAGAGTTTGTTGGGGGCTAAGGTTGCACTGAGTTGCCTTGGGCTCGGCCTCTTGGGTTTGAGCTTGGACTTGGGTTGGGTTTGGGTTGCACGTTAGCTCTTTGATGATTCTGGGGTGGCAAAGCAGAAAGCCAAGACCAAAGGTTCTCCTCTCTCTCTCCCTCTCTGGCCATCTAACCCAGCCCCCTCTCCCCCCGCCACTGCGGACATGCAGATGAATCAAAGCGGCCGCTGATTATAGCAACAATATGGAAATGCCGCTACCCTTAACCCCCACCCCCTATTGCCCACTTCGCCCTTATAGGGGCATTGTTTATTTATACCCAGTACATGTATGCCCAGTAAATACAAATGCCGGTGTGTGTGAGGTTTTTATAACCTCCATTTGCCGAAGTTTAGTAAATTCTTTCAAAGCGTGTACTACATTTATTATTTAAGCCACGCTGCCTCCATTTCCACTCCTCCCCTTTTATCTGCCCCATTGTTTTAGTCCTTTCCTATGTCTGTTTTACCGTATTAGCCGCCCCATGCATAAAGTAAAGCACCCGTTTCTATTTTACCCCACTTCACCGCCCCTACTTCAAGTTTATTTGCATATTTTGACTTTTATGCGGCAAAAATATTACAGACTGCGCTGCCAGCAAACAATATCAGACCCCCCAAATCCCCAATTCCAACCCCAACCACCATTCCATTGCCCAACGACACCAAAAACGTTAATAAAGCTAGAAAAGAGCCCGCTTTCAAAAAAAAAACTTAAATACAGTCCAACTTCATTATCCAACACTTTTTAAAATAAATCCAACTATCGAAATTGCTGATGGAAATCACATTTTATATAAGATCATAAGAGCTAGAACTCGAATTACTTAAGGTTAAAATTTATTTGTACAAATCCGGAACTTCTTATTTTTTTATAAGTACGATATAAGAAATATTTCTGTAAATCCTGAACTTCTTAATTTAAAAAACTAACAAAAAAAAACTTTTACGAAATTCCAAAATGTGAAGATTAAGAAAAAAGATAGTAAATTCCTAAAGATGCAGTGAATAAGAATTGTTAGAACTAAAGGGGCATACCACATATACAAAATTAAAATTAGTTTTAGTTTTTCCAAAATAAAAATAAAAATAAATCAAATTTCGGATTCTATTCGAGCTATGGATGTTGGACTGTTTTAACGACAAAGTGAAGAGGAAATAGAAGTGGAAGCGAGGCGAAAAAACATTTTTTCCCCGACTTATTTTTTCGGGGTCCCGGGAAAAGTTTTGGGTTTTGGGGCGCTGCGCTCTCAACTTATGACTCCATTGCAACATGTTGCATGTTGGAAATTGCCCAAAAACAAAATATAAAATGAAATGCCTGCAAAGAAAAAAGCAAAACAAAAAATAGACAAGGTGGCTTTAAAATTTATGCGCCCAAAATTTAACCCTCCGCAGGCCGCAGCCCGCCGCCCAACGCCCCACACCACCCCTTTTCGACTTTCCCACACCCCTTTTCCATTTCATTCCGCCGCTCTTTGAATTTCCATTTTCATTTTGCGGTTTTTGTTGTTGCGTGTGGCGGCTATCCAATAAATAAAAGGGCCGCAGAGAGAATGCGGAAAAACCGTTAGCCAGGTGAACTGTCGAAATGATCGTGAGAGAAAGTAAACCCCTTTGGAGACTCTCTTCATGAGAGAACAATTTGTTGAAAAAGAACTTAGCTGATTTCATGCACAGAAAGAAAATGCACGCCAATTATCTTATAACATATTATTGTAAAAATATTCGAATTGATATTGTCAACTACATTTAAAAGTTGTGTGCTGACTTTTGCGCTCAGTGATTTCCACTAGCTCACACAAAAGTTTTGTAAGTTTTTCTCCCCCAAAAAATTCCACCAGTGTTATTGTTTATTCAAGATGTTATTATAATTACAGCTACGATTTAAACAAAAGTAGTGGGATAAAAAAAAATGAATTTCACTTGGGCAGCAATAAGCTTTTGCCTTAACATTAATGTTTTTGTCTGAGTCAAGAGAACATTTTGAAACTAAATCCTATACACTTTTTTCTCAGCGTAAAAACATGGTTACAAACATTCCCGCATGGCACTTGCTTTAGTTTTAGTTTCAATTCGAGTTTTGATTTACGCACTGCGTAACGCATTTTTGAAATCACGACCGAAGTCTGGAGACTGGAATGGGAAAAACTTTTCCAAAGCATCTTTGACCAACTCACCCCGCCCCGCAGCCCCATGCATTTCCCTCCTTTTCGGCCCGATAAATCCAAAGTCCGGCGGCAGCTGGACGCTTCCGGCGCAGCATTAATGAGGGGGTGGGGCCGGGAAAAGGGGGCTGGAAAAAGAGGAGATGGGAGACATGTAAGTAGAAATGAAAACGAAGCACAATGAGAACATCCGGCCTTGTTATGAGCGGGAGGGGTAGTAGGCAGTAAATAGCGATAGGGGTAAGCCTACACTCGAAAAAACAACCTAGAGTCCATCTTATTCCACCAAAAGCATAGGTATTTTTTTCCTGAATTTATATTTACAATCTAGAAATAGTTTTTTTAATGTAACGCTTCTTCAATTATTGTTTTACAAACGATTTTCTTTTCTTAAATATATAACCTTTTTATTTTGAAATATACCCCTTCTTTTTGGTTATTAAAATTTTAAAGACTGTTTTGCAATTTAAAAAATATTTGCATAGAAAATTGTTGTTAAAAAAAAACTTTTAAATTGTTACCAAAAAAATTAAATGCCTCTTATGGCATTTTCTCTTTTTAATATTGATTCTTATAAAAGCATATGTATATGTATGTTTGTAAAGATTATAGAGAAACGGTTTTAAAAAATAAAAATCAAAATTAACTAGTTAAATGCCTATTATTTTGCGAACTATAGGAATTTTTTTTGAAATAGTTACACTTTAGTTGTTTCTGGTTTCCTCAAAACATATTGACTGCAATTCTTTATGGTGGGGATGGGGATTTTATGGCAGTGCAATTGGGGGTTAGGTGGGCCAGACAAACGGGCTGCATTTTGGCCCCCCGTCCCAGAAAACCCCCCATTCTCAGGCCATTAAGAAATTTCAAATTCTTGAAAAATTAGCAGAGCAACAAGAAATGTAGAAGAAACCGAGCGGAGAAGAAAGCGAAACCAGGCGAACTCTTCCCGAGAATAATTAATGGAATTTTTGAACTTTTAGTGCAAAATGCCTGGGAGACAACTGCTTGAACAGCATTTTCATTGATGCTCCTGGCTGCATGTGCCACAAATAAATTTGTCGTCGACTCTGGCAGATTGTTGCAACTGCCGCCCCTTAACGGCCCCCCAAAAAAATACCAGCCGTTGTGAATGAAAATAGAGCAATTTGCATTATTCGCATTCGAGCAGATTTCGCTTTAATGAATTGCACACAACTTGCCAAGAAATAAAGATGAGCACAAAGCACGGGATGGTAAATGAGAAACGTCTGCATCTGTCTGACTTGGCACTTTGTCTACAGGAGCTGGGGTGCATACATAGTAGCCGTAGTCCCGTGTAGCTCCCTATAGGGATACATCTATATCTTCCTCTTCCCTTGGAGGAGATCTCAATCCCAGTCCCCCCCGATGTCTGATATTGGGATTGGGGCTTCTGTCTGTTTTGTCCCCGCAATCGGAATTCGCTCATCTCCATCAAAGTTAATGCGAAATATAATTTGCATTCGGTCCATGCAGATCGCCAAATGAAAAACCCACTAACAGTGTGTCTGATTCGCAATATATCGTTGTCATCAAAAAGAACAAGGAGAAAATATAGCCTGCTGAGAGGACGAAGTTTGGAATGCCCTTTCAAACCATAATTTTTCACTAAAACATATTTTTAAAAATTCTTTTTAAACACCCTAGTTATTTTTATTGGAATGACTTCTAAGTGGATTTTGTAAAAGGTGGTTAAACAATGTTACAAAAGAAAATTAAATACATATGATGGTTTAGTTAGTTTAAGCCAGTTAATTGAAATCACTAGTAAAAAAATCCCCTTGACTTATTAATGTTTGTTCTAGACAAAAAAAAAAGATTTTAAAAAGATTTTTAAAAAATTTTAGCTTCATCCATAGGCGGAAGTTCTCTTCTAACTGAAGTACTTTTTCCTAAAGACTTTAACGGGTTACGAATGATGTTATTTTCTTCTAACTAAGTTCTCTATTGTTTTTTTTTTAGAATAATAAAGTCCATTCACAAAAGTTGAGCAGATTTCAATGGCACCCCTGCATATCTCGTAATTCGATCTGGTGAATAAAATCAAAAACGCTTGCCTGGTTGTCTGAATTATTATGCCCAATTTCGAGGGTAACTTGTATAACTGAAAAAGCAAAGGCGAACAAACGGGCCATAACTCATGTCGGCATGTTCATTAAATGTGCTACGTTTGTCCAGTAACTGACAGTGCCCACTGCCTACTGCCTACTGTCTACTGCCTACCGCCGCCTACTTTTCCCATCCACTGTAAATGCCACTGTGGAATGGGTCCTTGCGCCCACTGTCAAATGCACCGGCCTTCAAAAGGGGGTGGTGGCGTATTTTATTGTCTATGTGCGCATATGGTCAGCTCATTGTGCAGTCAGTTGTATTGCCATTATCATCTGCGACAGCCATCGTGCTCATCGTGCGGCGATTAATGTGCCCTTCATCCAGTCGCAGATACGTGTTACATCTATCACATATCACGTACAGTCGAACCTCCATAGCTCGAACCACCATATGCCAGCAAAAAAAATTCGAGTAAAAAAAATTCTCCAGGTTCTTAAAAACTAATAAATTGTATTATCAAGTTGAGCTATATAGAATGTCAAGATATAAGTGTTAAGACTTTATAAAAATGACTTAAAAATGTTGCTTATAAAAATTTACTTCCAGCTCTTTAATTTATTTGATCATAAGGTTTTATAGTTAAAAGGGAATAAATCCAAATTTTGTTTCGAATCAAAGAAGGAAAGTTCGAGCTAGGCAAGTTGATCTGTATAAACAGGGGTGGGTGGGATATGAGCTCGGTTCGTGGAAATCGCTGAAAATGTGGAAAACCGCGTCCCGTTTGCTGACATTTGTCCTCGGCGACCGGCAAAACGCACATGTGGCTGGCCCCTCGGGGCCCAATGATATTAATGCTGCTGTTGCTGGAAAATACCTACAGCGAATAAAATATAATGAAACCGAGCTGGGATTGATTTAAGCCAGCTGCGGAGACTGCATCAAAAACACATCCAACACTCTCAACATCCAATCCACAGAACTCATCATTCTTGTACAGAGGCGAGAGCAATTCGCACTCGGTCGGATTATGTTTCGGGTGAAAGATAATGACCCTAAATATGTTAATATTTATGGGCTCACTCGGAGAAACGGAACCAAACACACATTGGCTGGTGGTGGCACAAGAACTAATATCCAATTCGAAATGAAAATATCCCAAGGATCTTCCAAACACTTAAATTAAAACAGTGACAGCTTAATAACTCTGTAAAACTTTAATTAAAACTTTTCAAAAAATGTAAGCTAATTTATATTTTACCAGAAAAACTTGAAAACCAAAAAGCATATTATATAATTGATTTAGAAAATATTATTTACCTACTTCTTTTAATAGTTTTTCTTATTAACCGATTTTATGCAATTTTAAATAAATATTTAAATTTTAGTGTTACCAAAATGTTTGCAAAAGAAACGTCAGCGCCTTTCCATCTGCAGACACACTGAGTTGCTATCGGTAAAAAAGTGCGTCAATTAGATTCGGTTTTTATTTTTGTGCGTGTTATTTGGCTAAGTTGCAACAAACAAACACTTTTAGGAAATTTCATAAGCTGTAAAAAAAAATTCTCTCATTTTATAAAATTACATTTAGTTTATCGTAACATTGGGTTAAAAATATATCTGATTGGAGTTGGAGTTGGAGTTAATGATAAAAACATCGATATAGCAAAACTATCGTAAGTGGCATTACTGCCGTACCAGCGCACGGTCACACTGCAAAGCAGTCTCTACACAACCCAAAAAAGAAAAATAAAAAGGGTACGCATTTTCAGAGCAATTGAAGAATAAAAAACGAGGAAAGGAGGCGGAAAAACGAAAAGGTTTATGCTGCTTTTGCATACCTGGCATAGTAAGTAACGTCAACTCCGCCGGCGAAAGCCGTTCCTTTTAAAAAAAAAGTGAGCGTGAAAGGTGAAATAAGCAGTGCAAAAAAGGAAAAGTGACCAAACAAACGATAAAGGGAAACGGGAAAAAAGAAAAGGAGCCGCAACCAGAACCGGAAACAAAGGTAAGTGCTGACCCTGGTCAATTTCCGTTCACTGGCGTTCTTTGTGTGGTTCCCATTCGCAGGGAGATTCATGAGCTTCCTGCCGGGGGAGCCGGTGCCGCCGGGCTTCGAGGAGGACGACGTGGCCCGATCGGCGGATGGCAACATAATCTCCCTGGATGCCATCTCCAGTGATGATGAGAACTTTGGCCCGGCCGGAGGAGTAGCAGCCACTGGTGCGGTCCAAGTGCCGAAGGTGGTGTTGCGCAAAAAGAACCAGGCCGAAGATGCCAGTGGACGTGGCGTCAATCGATCGCCACCGCCACCGGGGGGCCTGACCAAGCCCCAGCATTTACCCACGCCCAAGGAGCTGTCCATTCAGGCCTCCATTATCGCCCAGGAGCGCTACAAGTGGGAGAAGTTCCGTTGCATGCTGGAGCTGCAGCTCAAGCAGCTGCGCGATGAAACTGAAACGTACGAGTCGAATCCCGAGAAGCATCCGGACTATCCGGATGAGTGGAAACAGTTCTGGAATCGACGCTACAAACAGCTGCAGGAGGAAAAGAAATGCGATCCCAATCAATACGATTACAAGCCGGAGTGGATTAGCTACTGGAAGGATCGTCGCATCGAGCTGTTCAACATTGCGGTGAACAAAATCAAAAAGGATCTCATGGATAAGTTCAAGCTGGGCGACGAGGACGAGGAGAAGACCACGGAGCTGATGGAGCGCTACAAGATCCGTGTGGCCAGTCCCAGGGAGCCGCCCCCGAGCGCCATTGCCGTAAACCGTCGCAAGCAGAACTTTCGCACCAATATTCGTGGTGCAGCGGGTGGCGGTGGCGGTGGTGGTGGTGCAGGCGCTCCCGAGGCTGTAATAGATATCAGCGATGACGAGGGCTCCAGTCCCCCTTCCCGCGGTCGTCCCTACAATCGCCGTTCCCTCTCCCGATCGCTGTCACCCAAACGTGGTGGCGGTCGTCGTCCGTTGCGCCGTTCCCGCAGTCGTTCGCCGCGACGCAATTTCCGGCGCGGTGGATCGCGCTCCCGCTCGCGTTCCCGCAGCCTGAGACGGCGATCCCGCTCGCCGGCCTTCCATCGCCAGCGCGATCGTCCCGTTCGCCACTCCAGGGAGCGCGCCATGTCGCCCGGCGCCAGGGATTTCCTAGATCGTCGCAGCTTGGATCGGGATCGGGAGCGGGAACGGGAACGCTCCACTGAGTATTTCCGTGGCGAGGGCTATGGTCGCGGGCAGCGCAGCTATGACCATGTGGAAACCTTCCGTGTGATGGACTCGCGTGTGTATCCGGAATACAATATGCCCAAGGTGCGTTCCATTTCACCGGCCGTCTCCTCCACCAACAACAACAGCAGCAGCAACAACAACAACAACAAGGATAAGGAACCCTCAGAGCCCGTCGAAGAGGGACCTCTGACCGTGGTCAGTGTGCTGCGCATGCTGTCCGCCGTGGAGGAGCACCTGGGCAGCCTGGGACCGAAGGCCCTCAACCTATTGAGCAAGGCGCTGGCCATGGAGATGGTGCAGCCAAATGCCGCTGATGATCTGCTGCTGAACGACGACAATTGCGTCTTCCTGGAGACCACCAAGGAGAAGCTGAAGGGCATCCTCATCGCCGAGGTGTTGGACGATCCGCAAAAGGTGCGCGTGGTCAAGAAACTGATCACCAACATAGCGGCCATCATCTTCCAGGTGAAGTCCAGAGGTAAGTCCGCCCCTGATCCCCCGAATTCCACCGCACTTCTATCTCACTCTTTTTCGCGGTTTAAGGGTCCTTAGGTAAGTATGAGTGTAGTAAACTGTGTAGAACTCATCGAGATTTTCCCCTGAATCACACAAAAAAAATAAAAATAATAAAGATTTGCATTGGAACACAAACGCTTTTGGAAACTCGCGCGGTCCTCAGTTTTTTTTTTCAAACACTTGCTAGTGAAGTTTTTGAAATAATGTGAGTTTTGTGCCAATCGGTTTGTGCCACGTTAGATTCAAAAAGTGGTTTTCAAATGAAACCTCCTGTTTTAATGTGCTGGTGATTAATGGAACTTTACTTTCATTTACTAACCTCTGCGGTTCAACACTTCAAATATCTATGGAATACCATGGAATTTGAGTGGTTTGTTCTTAAGTTACGCGAAGTCTGGCAATAAGTTTTCTTAAGATTGTCATTAAACGAAATAAACTGCGCTGCGATTATTGTCTCATTTCATATTTGTTCTTTATCCCTATCATCAAAAACGATACAGCAGATGCTAAATGAGAATTTTGAAATAAACAATTCATTTCTTTATATCCTGGGCCAGGTTTTTAAATCGTTACTTGCTTAAATGCACTATATTTAAACCGGTTTAAGTCAAGGCATGATATATATTAAGGTGTTCTGAATTGCTGCTGTCAATTCGTGAGCCATTTTCTAAGATAATTGTTTTCGAAAATCGGGTTCTGTTTGATAATTAGGATAAACGAAGGTTGTTTCTCAAACAGACGACCTGCTCACAATACATAAACTACAGGTCGGAAGTGCCTTAAATAATAAATAACTTCAAAAAAAATATATGAAAAAAATATAAAAGAATAAATTGCCTTATATCTTAGCTGATTCTTTTCAAACTTTTGCTGGGTTTATTTTTAAAATTGTACCTTAATTGTATACAAATTCTTCAACTTGTGTTATCGCTGTGATTACGTTCTAAAATGTAAAATATTCGGTATATGTATCATATGTACATATGTACGCTTTTCGGTCAGCTTTTTTCCCCTTTTTTTGGTGGGTGTGTGAACAAAGTGTGCCAACGATCCCGTGAGCAGTCCAGTCGCCATCCACACCATCCATAAGTATAAATGTAATTTGCGTAGCTCGTTTGGCGCGACACCGAAGCTCCAGTTTGCAGACATTCGAAATGCAATTCACGCCTGCAAATCCTAACTGATTATTTTACGTTTTGTTTATTTATTTATTTTTTTTTTTGTGTTATGACCGGACTATCTAGGTATCCCAGATGTGGCCGAGGCCAAGGTGAAGGCAAATGCCAATCCGGCGCCCATCCAGCTGCCCTTCGACCGGAATGTGGTGGCCCCCAAGCTGGCCAATGCCTTGGTGCTCAAGGGATACTACGACGTGACCACCGGCGACATGAACAATCTGCTGCACCTGCTCACGCTGCTGGTGAAGACGGACAAGCAGCGGCGTCAGGTGGACCAGACCAATGGCCTGGCATTCCATGAGATACGGGCCAAGCTCGGTCTGCACAAGGAGACGCCGCCGGCTGTCGATAACATGGGCATCGATCTGGACGAGCTAATGAAGGAGGTGGAGAACCAGCTGAACAAGGAGTCCGTGGATGTGGTTGTCGGTAATGTCGGCAATGTCGGCAATGCTGGTGCCGCAGGATCGGCGGCCAAGGTTCAACTCGATGCAGCCGGCGGCAGCGGTAGCAATGGCATGGAATCTCTGACCGACTCCGATCTGCAGACCCTGCTCCAGAACTTCAAGTTCCTGTCCAACGAGGAGCAGGTGCATCTGATTGGCCATCTGCGCAAGCTGGAGGTCCAGGACCCGTTGCGCGTCGAGCGACTGCGCAAGTACGTCAACCTGGCGGAGCTGAGTGGCGATGGCGAGTCATGCAGTGATTTCCTGTCGCGCGTCGTCAACATTGGCGGCAGTGGTGGGCCACCAAAGGCACCGGAGAGATCCAAGTCCATGGCCTCGGGCATAAGCAGCTCCTCGTTGCCAATGGGCTCCGTCTCGTCCTCCACTGCCTCCTCGATGGCAGCCCTCGCCTCGCTGACCACCAGACGTCGCAGTTCGGAGCACGATCGGGAACGGGATCGCGAACGCGAACGCGACATGTCCAGTCTGCCCATCAATAAGCAGCGACGCAGCCGAATCTCGCCCAGCTTTATGATCGATGACGACGATGACGAAGACGATGATTACAACTTTGACGATCTGGTGATGAAGGCCTGCGATTCGAATGGCGGCGGAGGTGGTGCTACTGGTGCCGTCGGCATCGGCGGACATGGTGGTAATGCCAGAAAGACCTTCGGTCCGCCCATCATACCGGTGGAGTCATCACCAAATGCACTCACCTTCAAACCAGCAGCTGCATCCAAGATCTCGCTGAAGGACACCGAAAGCATTATAGCCAACTTGATGGGCACTTTGAGCAAGGGCGGTGCCGGCAGTGGCTCCTCCGTAGCTAGTCGCAACTACATGATGAATCAGCAGCAGCACCAGCACCAGCAGCAGCCACATTTGAGCCAAAGTCAAAAGACTGGCCCGAATCATCATGGTCAACGGCCGTCGGTCGGAGCAGGCTATTCCAAGCAGTCAAGCTATCCGATGCAGCAGCAGCAGCAGGGCGGCAACTTTGGCCAGGAGCCCCAGCCTCTGATGAGCAATCTAGCCAACCGACCCGATCCCAATCAATATCCGAATCAGCAGCAGCAACAACAGCCCTTTGGCAGCTATAATCCCTATGCGGGCAATGGTGTGCAGCAGAACTATGTGGCCCCCGGACCGGGACATGATCCCTACGGCAATCCCATGAACCCGTGGGCCAACAATGGGCCACCACAGCCGCCCTACAACCAGATGCCCCAGAGCTTTTTGAACCCACAGCAGCAACAACAACAACAGCAGCAGCCGCCACCGCCGCCCCATTATAACAATATGTTTGGGGGGCGTCATTAGTGGCCAACTAGTCTTAGGATCCTAAGCCATTAAGGCATAACGATTTAAACGTAGAATACAAGAAACTAAGGAAAATGCTTTGAAGTGCCCGTGACAAGTGATTTAAACACTATTTTTTTTTTTAGCTCAGACCCTGCAAATGAATAAAGCACTATTATTTTTCTTTTACAACTGAATAATAATAAAAATTGGAACGTATTTGAGCAAAATTCTGAACAGCAAATAAATAAAGACACACAAAAGTTAACTTTTTACCGACTTTTGTTTAGCATTGGCACACTGGTTTCTAGCTAAGTATAAAGTTGAATTTTAATAACTGGGCGCTTTGAGTACTGGATTTTGAAATTGAAATAAATTTGTACATTGCAAAATAAAGGAAAACCTAACTAAATTCCTAAAATGAAAAAAAAAGAAAAAGAATTAATACAGTACAAGCGAAAATTAGATTTATTTTAGTTTTCTAGCACCGAAAAATAGTGGAATATCAGCCTGAAGTTTTAAGTCCCGTAGAGGAATTTAAAAACAAAAAAAAAACAAAGGTAATTTATTTGATTTAGCACACTAAACATTCAACAAACAAAAAACCCATACTAAAATAAACTTTCTTAAGGAAAACTATGTAAAGTTTTAAAATAAACACTACTATACTACTCAATCTACTTCAAGCTATTACAACCTGCTAAATATTCTTATAGACAAACTATAAAACAAAGACCTTATCGTAATCAAGGATTTGATAACCCAGACAGACATCACAATAAAGACATACAAAAACAATCTAATGCAAAGCTTTAAGAGTTGTTAGTTTTTTTTTTTTTTAGCTGGTTGTAAACGATGCAGCGGTTCAAAGACAGTGAGAATTCACAACCGACTTTAGGTTTATTGTTCTGCAGCAACAGAAATTAGGCTAACTAAGCAACTAAATTCAATGACAGTGACAATTTACAACGGGGTTTAGGTTTACCCTGCTGCAACAACAGTCAACATAGCCAGTAACCACTATGCTCATGAATGGAAAAATACACTCCCTGACTTTAAAACAAATTTATCAAATCGAACGCTTTAACAGACTTTTTATAGAAGAGGAAATGGATCCCATCGTGGTTCATCTACAGTAGGGCAATTGCAGAAAGTCCACGGTCTGTGACTTCAGAATACCGGGTATCTCTTGCTGCAGCAGTTCGTGCAGCGACTGACCACTGTGCTTGTAGATCCACCTGCCCGCCGCCACGGTGCCTACGAAATCAAATCTCTTGGGGCCGCTGGTGGGTGAACTGAGCCAGATTTGCTTGTTGGGAGTCTGCCGGTTGATCACATATGTGCCGTGCTGCTGACCCAATTTCACGGTGAGCACGCCATCCTGCGAAAACGAAGTACCAAGGATATTAGTGGTAAGGGCATGATGTAATCGCAGAGGGTTGTCAAAACTCACGCCGTAGGCCACATCGCTGCCCTGGAGCTCCTCGGCGGCATTCTCTGTCAGCTCCTCAAAGTAGTCGCTCAGGGCGTCCAGCGTATCGGAGCACACTCGATCGTATGTGACACTATCCAAGGTGGATTCCGTTTCGATTTGGCTGCTAAAGAATCGCCGGCTTGCAAAGGATCCTTCGAAACGAATCGAATTTGTGGCAGTCGCTGGGTTTCTGGGCCAAATCCTTTGGCTGGCCAGTCCTTGGGGCATTCGCCAGCTCTTAATCGTGGCCAAACAGGCCGGCTTGCGGTTCCAACGAGCGAGCAAACGGCCCGCAAACATTATGCTTAGTGTTTGTCGTTTTGTTTATATTTTATACAACTCGCAGTTACAGCGCTGCCAACTTGCTGCGAAATTGAATGGCTTTTGGTATTTTTCAGTTAGGAAATACTGCCTTTGTATATTTTGGCATGAAGAAAAAAACACATGTGTATAAACTCTCAGTTAAGTACCTAAATTTGTTTCAAAAAATTATATTTAAATAACATTAAACGTGTTTTTTTATTTCTTTTCAAAATGAGGCTTATAACTTTTATATTTATTAACCAACAAATAACAAATATTACAAACGGTTATTTAAAAATACTAAAGTCAATTTTGAGTATTTTTTTCCATCTCGAATGATTATTCATTGTAAGCGACACGGTCACACCGCAACAAACGCCGACTGACAGAAAATGGCGTCGTCCGCCTGAAAAATTGGTGTATTTCTTGCAAAATCCACGCTCTCTCGACCAGCGAATCGCGAAAAATGGCCCTGCCCAGTAACTACAAGCAGATAGCCGTGGGCGCCCAGGGTCCGGGTCCGGCGACGCCGCTGCAGGGCGTCGTGGGCGTAGGAGGCGGCGGTGGCGGATCCGGCGGCGGTGGCAGCCGGTCGCGTTCATCCGGCGGCGGCGGTGGAGCCGATCGCAACAAGGACCAGACGCCCATCTTCACGCACAGCAACTATGGCAATCCGGCCTTCACGCCCCAGAAGGTGACCAAGTCGTCGAGCAGCAAGAACCAGAGCGAATCCCGGCTGCCCAAGCCACCAAAGCCGCCGGAGAAGCCCATCCTGCCATACATGCGGTACTCGAAGCGCGTCTGGGACAGCGTCAAGGCGCAGCATCCCGAGCTGAAGCTCTGGGAGCTGGGCAAGAAGATTGGGGCCATGTGGAAGCTGCTGGCCGAGGACGAGAAGACCGAGTTCATCGATGAGTACGAGGCAGAGAAGTTGGAGTACGAGAAGTCGCTGAAGGCTTATCACCAGACGCCCGCCTACCAGGCCTACATGTCGGCCAAGAGCAAGGTGAAGACGGACGTGGACATGCACGAGACTCCATCGCGGGGTGGCGGCAGCAAGTCGCAACACGAGCGACGCATCGACATCCAGCCGGCGGAGGACGAGGATGACCAGGACGAGGGCTATACGGCCAAGCACATGGCCTATGCCCGCTATCTGCGTAACCATCGTCTCATCAACGAGATCTTCTCGGAGGCCGTCGTTCCCGACGTGCGTTCCGTGGTCACGACCACGCGCATGCAGGTGCTCAAGCGGCAGGTCAGCTCGCTGACGATGCACCAAACCAAACTCGAAGCGGAGCTGCAGCAGATGGAGGAGAAGTTCGAGGCCAAGAAGCAGCGCATGGTGGAGTCCAGCGAGGCCTTCCAGGAGGAGCTAAAGCGTCACTGCAAGCCGGCCGTGGACGAGGACACCTTCCAGAAGATGGTGCACCGCATGTACGAGGACATCAAGCGCGATCGCCAGCGATTGGATGAGCCCAGTGCGAACAACGTGGCGAATCCTGCCGTTGCCGCCGCTGCTGCTGTGACAAGGAGCGAGGAGGCAGCCAAGCTGTCGACGCAGCCAGGTCAGCCGGGTGCCACGCCCGCTAACCAGGAGGCGGCGGCGGCGGCGCCGACAACGGCGCCTGCTGCAGTGCCACCAAAGGAGACGCCGGCGGCTGCAGTAAAGCCAGCCACTCCCAATTCCACTCCCACTCCGAGTTCCACGCCCAATGCCACGCCGCCTGCGCCCGCAGTGCATGTCCATGAAACGGCCAGCAAAACGGATCCCGAGCCCATGGACATTGAGCCGCCGCCGAAGCCGTCGGTGCCGCCGCCGCCCATTAAGCCGGAGAAGCTGGAGATGGCCGCTGCCCTGCCGCCGCAGTCAACGCTTGTCGAGCCTCCAAAATCAGAGCCCGCCAAGGTGGTGGTGGCTCAGCCCGGTGCCAAGGTGCCCACTCCAGTTCCGACGCCTACGCCGCCGCCCGAAGTGCTTCCCGTTGCTGGAGCATCTCCTGCGGCAGCAGCAGCGACAACGACGGCTCCAACGCCACCGCCGGTGCAGCAGCAGCAACAGCAGGTGCCATTGCCCCAGCAACAGGGCGGGCCAGCTCCGCCGCCAGGCATGCCGCAGATGCATCCACATCCCGGCCACCCGCCGCCCGGACATTCGCTAATGCCGCCGCACATGGGACCGCATCAGGGACCGCCGCCCGGAATGCCCGGCCTGCCGCCGCCACCTCCGCACACGGGCTACGCCAACTACGGAGGACCGCCGCACGGCCCACCGCCTGGTCCACCAGGCGGACCCGCACGGCCCTACTACCAGCCGCAGTACGGAGGCCATCCCACGCCGCAGCCCTACTATGCGCCCTTCTCGCCGTATCAGCAGTCGTATGGTCCTCCACCCGGGTCGCATTACATGTCGCCGCGCCCGCCACCGCCCCAGCACAATGGCAATCCCGGACATCCCTATGCGCCCGAGCATGGGAGCAACCCGCCGCCCCCGCAGCAGCAGCAGCAACCGCCACCGGGCCACCTGCACGAGCCCAGTGCAGGACCAGTAGCCCCAGGTGGAGGTGGAGGAGGACCAGGAGCGGCAGCGGCAGCGCCTGGAGGGGGAGGAGTCTACCCCACGCCCGGGGCTGGAGGAGCTGGACCTGGACCCGGACCGGGACCAGGAGCACCCCCGGCAGCTGGAGGAGCACCGGTGGGTGAGACGGCGGCGGCGGCAGCAGCAGCAGCCGCAGCAGCTGCTGGCGGAGCTGCGCCCCCTGCAACGGCGCCTGGCAAGCATCCGGAGGCGGAGAAGCACGAGGCGGACTAAGACCAGAAGTGGAGGCAACCAGCATCCACATCCACCCACTCCTCCACTCAGATCCTAGTTGTAGTCCCTAAAGTATACATACATACAAGCATCGATCCCTGTGTTGTAACATAGCTGTCCCCTCTTGAACCTCCGCCTCTGTTCCTCGCTGTAGACCGAAAACCAAAACGAAAAGCCGTCGAAATCCCCCAAACTTGAAAAACCCATTTAGGCGCCCAGAAGTCCCCATCAACCAACTCCATTCTCAATTAAGTTTAAAATTCTTTTTTTTTCGTGAGGCCTAATTTTAATATTTTATTAATTGAGTGTGCGTCGCATTCTGGACTGTATGCTAAATATACGAATAAAATAAATGTACGTTTATATGTAAATGAAGAAAATTGATGGTTGATTTCTGACTCCAGGGGTTCAATTTGCAAATTAAATGGAAATTTAGCTGGAAGCACTTAATTAAAAGCTTGATTACTTCTGATTGGTTTGTAGTTCTACTAAAAAATGGGTCGTATAATACAAAATAATAGTCTCATTTTAAACTTAAGACATCCTTGTTTTTAAAATTTACTAAATATATGTAAGTAATTAACAAACAAAACCTTAACCCTTCTGAGTGTTCTAAATGTAGCTTAACCCTTAATGGGTTACTAGTCGGCAGCCTTGAAAAGCAAAACAAAAACAAAACGGGCAAAGCCAAAGCCACCCACACATACAGATGCAGCTAGCCAACCTAACCCACACATAATCACACTGAGATTATCACACGCACACACCTTAGCAAAACGAATGACGTTTGCTTTTGATTTTTGGAACCAACTGTACTTTCCCCCCTCTCTCCATCCCTTTCCCACCGTCTATTTCTTTCTCGCTTTCGCAGAAAATAAAACAATTTATTGGTGTTGGGTTTTTTGGTTTCTTCTATAGAAAAAACCGTTTATTTTTTTGTTATTTTTTTTGCTGATGTTTCCAGTTATTTTTGCTGTTGCTGTCTATGTTTTCCGTTATTTTTGTTTCTTTTTACTTTTTGGGGGGTTTTTTGTTGTTTTGTTTTATTGGTTCTTGTAAGCTACGATACGATATAGACACATATGCATATAGTCCGATTTGTTTAAATGTCCAATGTGAAACTAGTTATCGACACCAATTTACAAGTAAATATGTATTTGTGGGCGTTTACAATTGATTATTTTGCATGTGTTTCAACTACATATAAATATTGGGAAATATTCAATGCTTTCCTGTTTTGTTTTATTTTGGTTATTATTATTCGATGCTCTTCCAAATCTATAGATGTGTATAAACATCAAGTAATTTATTTGATTGCTGAATCATCTTTATATCTTTTCCATCTTCTCATCATCTTCTTCTTCCGCCTAAACGTACAAAATGCATGTAAATCTAAAATCTTATTTAATCAACTAACTCTGTCACGCCCATCCCTTCGTTATACAGTATATATATATATATATATATATATATGTATATATATTCTATATATATGTTTTTGTAAGTGATTTGAAGTAACGGAAGGTAAACAAAATAAAGAGTATTAATGTCTAGTGTTTTCGTTTTCTATATAGATATATTTATATATATATTTATATACGTAAGTGTATTTTTAAGTGTACTCAATTCGGTCTTCGGTGTTATATGTGGATACCATTTCATATGTTAAAAGGTCATGCGTCTTCAGATTGTCCGTCCAATTGCCACGCCCTCGCCGCCTCTTCGCAAATCCGGGAATCCCGCCGGGCAGTAATCCGACACCGTCTGTCCGCCTTGCCACGCCCAGCTGGCGGCACGTGTTAGGTTGGCCCCAACCTCCAGGTCCGCGAGTCCCGGCAGCCAGATGTTGAGATCCCCCAAAGTGGGAGACCAGGCGCCTTTAAGACCACGGATTACTGGAAATCAAGGCCCGCCAGCCAGACAATTGTTGGAGTTTTTGGTGGCGGATGTTGCAGACGGACAGGCAACGACGGCTGCCCGGGGGAAATCCTTTCCGAAGATGGATCCGGAATCGGGGAAAAGTAGCGCAGTTCAAGGACGTTCCAACCGTCGACGCAGACGAGAAAAAAAAACTTAATAACTAATATATAATAGTAATAATAAGAGTTACAAATATTTTTAGCATTAAAGTAATGTTGTGATTGTGTGTTTTATGTGTGGCGTTGGTTTTAGCATCGTCATTTCGACGATCCGACGGCAACTGAACAAAAGGATGATAAATGTATACACGCAAATATGAATGATAAGATTGGATCAAAATGTCGCTGGTGCTCCTTCTTTTGGGTCCTCTCCCTTAACGAAATATAAATCAGAATTGTCTGCTCGGGGATGGACTGTGATCCTTCTGTTCTTAGTGATCCTGCTTAAGCACGCTCGCCACGGATGCGGCGCGCCAACTGGATGTCCTTCGGCATAATTGTCACGCGCTTGGCGTGGATGGCGCACAAGTTGGTATCTTCGAAGAGACCCACCAAATACGCCTCAGAAGCTTCCTGCAGGTCGAAGAAAATAAAAAAAATTAAGAAACTTGGCGTTACTGATTGGCCTGTATCAATATTATTTAAAACTCATTTCCTTCTTACATTTTGTTTTCAAATTTTACTGATATAATATTATTTGTATGCTTTTGGCTAGAACCTATATTAACTCAAAACCCCCTTTAAATCCCCATGATCAAATAATCCATCATCGAATAGAAATAAAATTCTCACCTGCAGGGCTCCGATGGCCGCCGACTGGAAACGCAAATCGGTCTTGAAATCCTGCGCGATTTCACGCACCAGGCGCTGGAAGGGCAACTTGCGGATGAGCAACTCGGTCGACTTCTGGTAACGACGGATCTCACGAAGAGCCACGGTACCGGGACGATAACGATGGGGCTTCTTCACTCCGCCAGTGGATGGCGCCGATTTACGAGCGGCCTTGGTGGCCAACTGCTTTCGGGGTGCCTTTCCTCCGGTAGACTTACGGGCGGTCTGCTTGGTACGGGCCATATTTAGTTCTTATCTCAAACTGCAATATGAAGAAGTCGGGATGGGAAAATTAGAATCTTCGTTTTTTGACTATATATATTTGATAGATATACACAAAACGAGGATTTTATTGTGAATTTCAAATTTTAGTTATTTAGCACTTGAATCTTAAAATTGTATTGGATTTTCGAGTAATGCCAACATCTGAAGTTTTTTGGTTGACTTACTAAATACAACTCGTTTAGTTACCAATAAGAAGGCGATCCTTTCTAGGTGAGAAACAAAATTCGACTGCCAGTAACTATTCAGGCACTCAGACCTTTTCGGTCGGCACAGGCGCAGTGCAGCAGCCTGCAGGAAGCTGCAACCGGCAAGGATACACAAGATATAGACGGTTGGATGTGGCGGGGAGCCAAAGTTAAGACCGATGCACAGCGCCGAAGCGCTGGCGGCCAACTGACGACGAACAGTGACTAGCGGTCACAACGAAAACGAGGGTTGTACGTGAATTTCGTCGGGACAGCTGCCTGCTTTTCCTTTTCCCCCCCATCGGTTTTTTCATCTTCTGGGAACGGCGCACGGCACTCGAGAAACTTCCACTTAAGTGGGAAAGGAAAAAATCGTGTCTTGGCAAGCACACACTAAAAAAAACAGGGCTTAGTATTTACATTATTTACATTTGTTTGCCTAGTAAATGTTCTGCTCATCAATGATCAATGCTCATCATCTGCCTTTGTATCTCGGGCTTTAAATATTAAAAGATATCAAATTATTATATTCGAAAATATCAATTTGACATTTAGTTTAATTTTAAAATTTCTTGAAATTATTATATCTTCATGAGATACAAGTTTCTAATAAAGGCTTTTTTTAAGATGTTATATTTATGCTGATCATGCAATAATTTCTTGAGATTTCGGTAATTATAGCAAAGCATTTTTGCACATATTTTTTACTTTTATATGCTCCTGTACATAGAACTACCCTATGTGCTACAGATTTTTCTCTTTGTGTAAAGGTTCCACGATGGAGTACCACTTCAAATCTTATTTCTTTTCTTTGCGAGCAAACAACGTGAGTCGTTGTTTTTTGTGTTCCCCTTCCTTTTGTGTACTGCCACTCGAATATTTTGCGTTTTATGCGGAATCAATCAAGCTGAAGCAATGAGTTGTAGTTTTCAGTCTATGTGCAGCCAAGAAGAAAATAAATAAAAGAAAAGCAAAGAAAAAAATCTTGGAAGCGCCAAAAGAGTAAACATAAACAAAAGGAAAAGCAGGCGGTAAAACTTGGCGCGCATTTGAAGGCGGCAAGTTGAAGGGAGACAGACATAAGGTACATTCACAATAGAAAGAGAGGAGTGGTGTGCTCACAACAGTTAATTGCGTCGTTTCTCCGCTAGCCAGCATGTGTGTGGATGTAACAGCTGCACATCCTCACAAAAGACAATACAAAATAAAAAAAAATTATGCAATAAACTATGGGAGAGGGGGGCCACTCTGCGCATGACAAGCGAAGACATGCACATCTGCATTGTGGTATACACACACACACACTTGCAAGGGCCAGCACTTCAGAAGGAAATAAAATAATTTTATCGTTTGACGCCACCACAAATACGATTACTCATACTTTTTCGCGCCAATTTTGATGAACCCTTATTTTGTGTCACCAATTTCATTTGCGGCTGCAACTTTAATTTGTTGCTGCTCTCCTGCGTGGCGGCCATTTTGAAAAAGCATCGCAGCACAACTACAACAATAATGCACCCGTCGTGCAAATACGAACACGAAACCTCTCGCAACTTCGTGCATTTGTGTGTATCCACCAGCGAAAATGCCAGTGCGTGTGTTCGGTGAAAAATAGGGCTCCGCTGGACGGCCGGCGGAGCCCCAAAAACAAAAAAAAATTTGCTTGCATCTGGAGCCACAAAATACGGAGCAGCGCACACAACTTTTACTGCCCACAAGCCCGGGAATTCAAGGAAGAAAGCTTAAGTCTATGCAAATATCACTCACCGTTGAACACGAAAGAAAATAAATATTTTCACAAATTTGGTTTTTTCACGAGACGAACTGTTCGGACGAAATTTCACAAAAGATGGGCGACGGTCGATAGGCGGTGACAGTAGAGGTGGAGAAACATCGAGTCATTGAGTCATCGATACCAGCATCGAGTCATCGATGAAAATTTGGAGAGGCCGGGATCAAAATGTACAAGCTCTTATTTTTAAACGAGAACAAGCATAAAAATAAATAGAAATAGAAGTTTTGCGTAAAAAAAATTTAATTTCAATAAAATAAAAGGTTGTCTCCCTTCCGCTTTTTTTGTCTTTTGAATTTCGCGGCAATGTACAAAGCGCCACTGAGCTCGTATCTGCATAATGCGCAGTGTTGCCAGATTAGGAGTTTTCACCCTAGACTTAGGGGTTTTTTGACGGTATAGGGGGAAATATTTTATAGGGGGAAAATGTAGTGCTTTGTTTGTTTTTTAAGAATTTTACTATTATACACTGTAAATATGACAAAATATAAAAGTTACCTAACTTGTAAGCAAGACTAACTCCGAACATCTAAACTGAAATTAAGTAAATGTATAATCCTTAATTTTAAAGCACAAATATTTAATATGATATTCTGATATTCTCAATTTAAAACGAGTCTAAAATAAAGCAAATATAGAAACACAACACATGTTTTTAAAATATTTTGAATGATTCTACATGCGGAAAAAGTCTTTATTTAATGTTAAGAGGACTTGAGTGTTACATTTATGCTGAAGATGAATAAACGCCAGCCAGCAGACTACTGCGACTTCTTGTCCTCCTTGGCGGACCTGCCTACGGGCTCGTCCTTGAAGTGGAGGAACACGAACGAGAAAACGAACACGCCGATCATCATGGAGAAGGCGCTGGTGTAGTAGGGGAAGGCGCTGGGGATGAAGCGCTCGTACTGCGTGTGCTCCAGCGGACGCACCGACACCTGGGTGGTGCTGTACAGGTGCGTGTAGCCGACGCGATCGTAGTCCACCTTGAACTGGTACACGCCGTAGACGTCGGGGATCTTGAACTTGGCCTGGTAGGCGCCCGAGCTGGTCTGCTTCAGGTAGGTGCGGACGAAGGGATCGATGCGCACGAACTCCAGCTGAATGTCGCTGGCCTTGAAGGCGCGCCACTGGCCCTGGACCAGCTCCTCAATGCCAATGGTGTAGACGACGGGATCGGTGATGGTGTAGGCCTGATCCGGGGGCAGCAGCTCGCCCTCCTTGTGATGCTGCACGGATGACACCCGCAGGCGGCCCGTCTCGCCAAACACCCACTGGCTGATCGACTCGGCCGCGTCACGATTGCCGGCCAGCTTGTGGAACACACCGCTCTGGGCGTACTGCACCGCTGTGGTGAAGCTCTCGTCGGAGAAGAAGGTCAGCGAGCCGGAGAAGACCACGCGGGCGTTGTTCCTCGCCTGCAGGGCGGCAATCAGCAGAGTGCCGCGACCCACGGCATGCGGATAGTCGGAGACACTGGCCTCGGGATTGTAGCTGTACGCGCTGCTCTCGGCGGTCAGCAGCTTCAGCACCAGCGGGTTCTCCTTGTCGGCAATCAGTCCGGTGCCGCGGTAGAGCAGTGGCGCTGCATCCGCCTGCCTGTTGGCCTTGCCCACAATGGTGTCCGCCTGGATTAGGTTCTTGGCCGCGGTCAGGATCGTGGTGTGATCGCCCACATCGCTGACATCGTAGTGCAGGTGATCGATGACCGCCGCATTCTCCTCGTCCAGCTCGAAGCCGCACTCGGAGGCGAACTCGCGCAGGGCATCTCCGGATTTCTCGCTGCCCGCCACCAGGACATTGCCGCCATCGTCCACGAACTGGGCGAGACGCTCCACGTTCACATCGCCGCCGAATTCCTCCACACTTGGGGCGAAAATGATGACGTTCTTGTACAGATATTCGCCGTATTTGGACAGCAGCAGGCTGGAGTCATCCGCCAGCTTGTAGGTGAGCTTGAAACCCCGATCTGCGGGTGAAATAATCAATTATTGTTGGCCATTGATAGACCGGAACATTTTGTCCACGTCAGAGGTTAGCCGGCATTTTGCACTCACCCTGCAGCGACTTAAAGAATATCGAGTGCGTCTCGCGGATGGCCAGGTTGTCCAGCAGCACCAGGGTGCTGGCGTCCGTTTCGAGCACCGCTTGGCAGTGGGCAATCGCCAGGACGGCAATCAGTAGAGCCTTCCACATCATTATTTTTCCTTAACCAACTTTTTCCGGCTTGTCTCCTAAAAAAAAAATATGACTGATTCCAGTGTGGCCAAGTGTTGTGTGGGCGTGTCAATTAGCAAAAATACCAAAAATTCTGCCCTAAAAATTGATCGATTTATCGTTTTATTAATCGACTTTAATTCCATCTCTAATTTATTTAAAACAAAACAATTTTTCGATTTAAATTTTTATTTAGCAAAAAAATTCTATTACTTCCTACTACACACACACACAGAAATCGAGATGGACATCTTTGAGAGCTTCTGCCGGACGTGCGGCAACGAGTGCCTAGAGTCGCTGGGAATCTACGAGGAGAGCGCCCGGGCGCTGGACAAGATGGTGCCCATTGCAGAGATGCTGGCGGCCTGTCTGCCCGCCTCCTTGCCGCCAATGAACCAATCCGACGACTATCCCAAGCAGATATGCCGCATCTGCGTCAAGAAGCTATCGATGGCCTACGAGTTCAGCCACCAGTGGCTGGGTGCCCACAGCGAGTTCAACGTGGCCCTAAAGTTCGAGCAGCGCAGGAAGCGCAGTCTGGCCAGCAAGTCCCAATTCCAGTCCCACCAGGCAAAGCCCAAGGATGAGCAGCTGCCCACGGAGGCAGCGGATGCAGTGCCCCTTAAAATAGAACCAGTAATGGGTGAGGAAGTCGACCAAGTAGTGAAGATCGTATTTAAAATGCCCCTAGAATCATTTTAAATGAGTATAATTTAAGCCAGTTACTTAATAAATAGTCACTTTGGCTTAGATCAGTCTAAACTTTCTAAATTACTAGCCACGATTTAAGTGTTACTCTTGTGCTTTCTAGTTTCTAAAGCTTTTACGCCTTCAATCTTTTCCAGAAGCTCCATCTGCAAACGTGGAGGTCAAGAGCAGCAGCGATTCCCGACTTGGCTTTAAGTGCGGCATCTGCAACGAAAGTTTTCACACGGAGAAGGCGTGCAAGTTCCACTTCAAGTTTTCCCACAAGGATCTCTAGTGCTCCAACGGACCTCACTATCCTGTAATTAGAGTAATCGCGCTCACTTACTACAAGACTGTGGTAGTAATTGCATCGAAATTTTAACCTTTTAATGGCATAATTGTTTGTTTTTCGTTAAGACAGTCCTGGGAAAAATAAGCTATCTGTTTTTCTACGACCTAGCATAGGCAGATTTCTATAAAGATACACCATATTTGCACTTGTAAATGAAGATATTTGTTTTCGATAGCTTTAAATATATAGAATTTTAAAGAAATTAAATGCTCTTGTGTAACTGATAGCTGAATTTTGTGGTATCTGCACAAACAGTATACAATAAGATTTCTGTTTTGATTTTTTTTTGGTGGAGAGTAAGTTAAAGAAAAGTTTGTAAGTCCTGGGAAAAGGATCCCCCCATAGATGAACCACACTGGCCTCTGTACATTTAGTGGTTTGTTTTACTTAGCTATAGCGTAAACAAAAAAAATCTAGAAGATGAAAGTGATACGGTCGGATTTCGTGGCGTTAATCCTCTCTAGTCATCCTCGTCATCGCGGACTTTCTGGGCACGCGGATCGTCGTGGCGGAAGACGACGTAGCCCAGCTTGTAGCGCCTATTGTCCCCGTCCTTGGCGTAGTAGTTGGCCACTCCGATGGTGGCCATGACGAGTCCGGCGAGGGCCAAAGCGGATCCGCCGACGATGTCCGGAATCTCGTTCCAGGCGCGCTTCAGCAGCGATGTGGAGCCTCGGGCAGCGGATGCGGACATCTTGGAGCTCTAGAAGATCGGGATAGCTCGGATAAAGCCACTTCAACTAGGATATTTGGGCATATTTACCAAAAGTAAAACGCGATTAGTTTAGTTACACAACGGGAGACAGCTGTTTGGCTAGAGATGGCTCGGCAACAGGACTGCTGTCTATCGATAGATGTTATCGCCGCCAAAGATGACAGAACTCCGATTTATTTACTTAAGTTTTTTTTTTAAACTGTTTGTATTCAAATGGAATTAATTTAAAGTAGATTTCTTCGGGAAAATTTTAAAGAAAGCATATACCCTGACAGATGTGATTTGTTTTCATTGGTTGAAATGGTTCAAAAATTATACTTTTAATTTAGGGATTTGTAAAGATAACTTTTTAAATAAATTTGTTTTAAATATCTACTCTAAACTTAATTTGTTAATAAACTGAGGCAGGCTCTGTTGTTTGTATACGTTGTTTTTATATAGTGCTTTCTAATTTTCTAGCTGTTTTACTGCGATTTCGAAAAAATAAAGGAAATCTAATTTAAAATGATCTTTATTTTCTTGCCTACGAGTAACATGTATAAAAAGGATCAAAAATAAGCAAAAACGCATATAATTTGTAATTTGAAATGTAATTGCCTAGACGTGACCTTTGTGTGACTTAAGCTGATGGTAAATGCAGCAGAGTTAAACCTCCAGGCCGGTCATCATCACGCATCCTGCTCGTAGCCCTCCGTCTTCATATCGTTTAGACCCAGCTGTTCGTTGTCCTCGAAGGAGCGATCGAATCGCTCCACCGAGAGCTTCCCATCCGGCTCCGAGTCATCGTCACTGAGCGATTGCACATAGGTATTGCCCGCCGGATCCTCCAGCACCAGCGTAATGATGCGCTTCAGTTGCATCACATCGTCGAAGGTGCCCAGGAACTGCTCCATCTGCTGCTTGGTCGCCTCGTCCGCCGAATCGTGGAAGAGAGTGCCGTCCAGCTGGTCCCGCATGGCCACCAGCAGACCCTCAACGGTGGTGAAGCGTCCGCACAGGGCATGCGGACCCACCTCCAGATCCAGCTCCGGAATGGACAGGCTGCACGTCTCCGACTTGAGCACATCGCGCGTGAGGTCCTCGCGGCCGGCAATCTGCACCCGGAAGCGTACGCCCTGCGGCTCCACGCCGCCGCCGGATTTCACCTCGTTGGTCTTGTGACCACAGGCACCGCAGACGGTGGCCATGATCACCACCTCCTTGAAGTGCGGGATGTTCGTCAGCTTCATGTTCGTCTCGCATGGCGCCTGGCAGCTCGAACAGTTGGTGGGGAACTGCAGCACCTCGCCGTGCAGATTCTCGATGGGCCACTCGTCCTCGGCAATCGGCTTCAGCAAGTTCTGATCCTCGTGGTTCTGCTCGTAAAGGCCTGGAATGGAAAATATGTGCATTAAATGGAGTTCATTACTCAGATGGTCAAATGTAACCATATATTAAGACTTTTTAAGAGAGCCTCACCCAATTGCTCGTTTTGCTGCTGGCTGCGCGTGAAGTGCGATGTCTTTAGCTGCGGATCGGTTGCGGGCGCCAGGGGATTCTCGACGAAGCTGTTGCCGGAAATGTCCTCGATGTGGAGGCGAAAGGGCGTGGACAGCTCCTTCAGCCGGCGCAGTCGTTCGATGTAGGCGTCAATGGAGGCGGCAGCCTCTGGATGGTCGATGCGCCGCTTGTCTTGGTCCTGCGACAAGCCGGCTATCGTCCGCTCGATGATGCCCTCGACGGTGGTCACCTCGCCTTTCTGCGACTGCACTGGGATCTCCAGCTCGACCTCCGGTATGCTGACACTGGAGTTGTCCGAACGCACCACTCGTCGGTTAAGATCGGCCATCGACTGAACCTGCAGCTCGATGCGAATGCCGGACTTCTGGATCTCCGAGGCCGACTGCATCTCGTTGTTGATGTGGCCGCAGTGGTCGCACTTGAAGGACATGAGCACCACCTCGCGGAAGAAGGGAATCTTGGTGGGCAGCAGCCGGGTGACGCCAGTCTCGAAGCATCGCATGCAGGCGGACTCTATTTCGACCACCTCGTCCGTCTGCTCCGCGTTGATCTCCCGGAAAATGGGCTCCGGCCGGACAGTGGTCACCCGGTCATTCTCCGGCGGACTGGGATTGCTGCCGCTGGCGGCGCTCACGGTGGACATGGTTTTCGCTGCTTCTTTCAACTGTATTACGTTCCAAAATTATTTAGATTCCGAAACGAAACGTGCAAGTTTTTTTTGTGTGTGATGGTGTGACCAGCTATGACTCATAAATAATACTAAAAATCGTTTTAAATACTCTACAAATATTTGGCGGTTTTTTTAAAACTTCGATCTAGAATGTTCTTTGATAAAACTGGCAAAATATTATGTACAAACTGGTTTGGTTTTTAATCTTAAGCTGCAAGAGCTGCCAACATTATAACCTTTTTGATTTTCTTTAACAACAACTTAAATTTAAAAACGTCCTTACTACAATCACATGTCAAACCAACAGTAGGTAGTTGATTATGTTGGATCGCAGTCATCTGCCAAAAACACACAACACCCCGTCATAAAACAAAAGATGGATAAGAATACTTCACCAGCTGCGTTATAATCCAATGTGCATTTCTTACCTGATACACTTAATACTTAATACTATTTCTACCTACCTAAATATGTACATATATTTGACCCAAAAACTACTTTATAAGCCCAGTGGTGATGCCCCATTAATTCAGTACGAAACAAGTCTTTAATGTGTTTACATATTTTATTAGAAACAAAATTTCTTAGTTTTGAATTGTTAACTTAAAATGGCGAATTCAAGCTTAAATTCATTGTTGGCACATCAGCTGGAATTGGGTGATCGGATTCAGAGCATTGTTCGAAATTATAAAAAGGATTCTAGTAAAAGAAAAGCTAAACCTTTATATTATGAAGATCGTCTGACTAAAATACAAGTTCTGTGGGACACATTTTCCGCTGGAGAAAATAGAATTCAAAAATTAACCCAAGGCACAAAAATGGAACATAAATATTTTAAAAACAACTTGTTTTTTAAAATAAGTAATTTGGTCGTTGAATACAAGACAGAATTTAAAAAGCACGTAAGCTTGTTGGAAATGGATACTCGATTTACTTTACCAAAACAAAAAGCTGTTAATTTTAAACCTATATGCAGAGAACAAGAGGTTTTGTTCGACAGATTGGAGACCATTATAAATCAAATCACTGTCAAAACACAACAAGGTATTAACCCAGCTACAATACCATATTGGAGCGAATTAAACAAAATGCATTTGCAAATTTATAAAAACTATAAAGACCAGAAGTGACAAGAATATTAAGTTATCTTTTTATTTCGTAAATATTTTTGTATATTACTAAGCCCTTTGTAAGAACATTTTATATTCATTTTAAGAATCTAATAATTAAAAACAACAGTTTAAGACAAATAAATAATACAAATATTTTAGTCTTCCACCTTACATCTGTTCTTTTTGGTATTTAAATTTTATATTCTTACTTTATTTTTGAATAATGTGCATAATGGGAAGGTCCTTTTAATAATTTAATTGATAGCTGTTTTTATTAAGCGTATAAAATAAACAAATAATCATGAACCAACGACTTTTACATGAATTTGACAAGCAATTTTTCACTCCAAATTTAGCGAATGCACCATCATCATATTGCAAATACACACACCTCATTTGGCCATTGAATCTTTTACAGTTGGTATTTGCTTTCAGCCGGATGGTATTTTGTTTCGTTATCGACGTGGTCACACTGGTGCTGAGCGTGTGTGCGTTCGTGTACGACGAGACGAGAAAATATAAAATCGTAACGTAACGAGAGGAGAGGAGAGAAAAAAACGTGTGAAAACTACATTAAAAATAAGGTACCGCTAGTGCGAAACAATTGTTAGCGAATCGAATTCGACAATAAACGCTTGGGTTGCTAATTAAATGTTGACAAAGCCGGACAGACAGCGAGTGTTCAGGCATTTTTCAAGGACCTTTTTCGCCTCCTGTCTGCCGCAGTGTGTGTGTATGTGTGAGTGCGTTCGTGTTTGAGAGTGTGTTTGTCTTGACCACCTGGGCGGTAGTCAAGTGGAAACTTTGCGTTCAAGGACAACGGCAGTGGCAGCCGTCCCCCTTTCACATTTCACTGTCCCTCTTTCGTGTGTTCTTTTTGCCCCCCAATTGTCTTTTTTGCTGGTCAGTTAAGAGGGTATTTTGCCCTGAAAGTACCGTGTTTATCCCCAATTTGAAAAGGGAATTAAGTTTTCAGTTCACATGTGTATTTTTGCTCTGTTTGCGAGTGTGTGTGAGGGTGCCGATTTTCGTATTCTTATTTTTTTTGCCGCGTTTGAGCGAGCTTGCGCTTTAACAGAAAGAGAAAATTACGGAAAGTTCTCTTTCTGTTAACAACACTTTTTTTGCCCCCTCTCTCACTCTTTTGCAGCCCAGGCTGCACTCGAAAATAACTGTTCGCGAGCAAGCGAGAGAGCGGCACACATTTAAAGTAAAATAAATCAAAAAGAACGCGAAAATGTGCAGGAAAATATCAGCTGCGGCGCAGATTTAACAAAGTCGATAGGGGGGCGCAAATAATCCAGGTCCAATAAAAAAGAAAACCAACAGCAAAAAGCCATTCTAAATTCGTTTACCACGTGTGTTCGCTGTGTATGCGTGTGTGTGTGTGAGTGCAGCTGATTCGCTGTATAAGTGTGCGAGTGTATGGAAGGGGCACAAACACTAAACTAGATTTAAATCTGCCACACACTTCCGCTGACCAAATACCACTCGCATTTACTTAATCGTATGTACATATTTATTTAAGCGTTTGTCCCAATTGAATTAGTTGTTCAAGGACTTTTATCCAGCTTGCCCTTGTAATCGCAGTCAAAAAAGGAAAGCTTTTTATTCGCAACTAACGGTAAAATAGCTAAAAAGGGCAGCACCACGGACGCGCCTGCGTGAAAGGGAAGCAAAAAGAAAAAGGAAAGAAAAAGTATGTGTGTGTGGCGCATAGCTACACATAACGGCGAAAAACGTAACGTAAACTTAACGCGAACTGGAATCGGGTTCTCTACCCCCACCCCTTTTGATGGGTAACTGTAAATATTAATTGGAAACCAAGCGATCAGATAAACAAATAGCAATATTCGGCAAATCAGAATCAACTAAAACCCAAACATAAGTTCCCCGGAAATCTGGTCGCACTGCAAAAGAAGAAATAAACTTGATCTTAATTGCTTTTGCTGAGTTTTGTGTGTTTAAAAAGCTTTAGAATGTTCGTGGTTTTCACAATTTCAAAAAAGCAATTTATGTACACATACATATGTACATATATGAAAATATATTTTGTTTTTTGCTTCTGTGAAATGTATCGCATTTTTTATGGACTGTCGGTCCCAATAAAAACCTGGAGAATTCGACAATTAATACTTTATAATTTCTGTTCTGTTGTAAATTGAGTTTCATCCAATTGTCCTTTTCAAACATATGTACATATGTATGTATGTACATATTTTTCTTGTTTGGATTTCATTATCTGCAATACAGCAATTTAAACAACTGCTTTTTCTATGGCTTCAAAACAGATCATATAAATACAAGAACTTTCAAGAAAATAATTTGGATTTCCTAGCACCGGAATGCGATTTTCGTTTGAATTGTTTTGTAACATTTGAAGTAGTTAAATTTAGAATATTTTCCGCGTCGATCACTACCTAGATATCCATAATTAAATCATTAAAGAGCTTAACCAGCTCGATATTTTGGGAAGCAATTTTGGCGATTAGCGCCGCCAGGCGCTATAATGCTGCTGAATCGATTGTTTGCACATGGTGGACCACATATGGCCTAAGTTGGCGGAATTTAGACCGACCGTTCTGCTCCTGCTCCATCAGTGTGACTAAGATGACTAGCATGGAAGCAGGAAGATAAAGGGCATAGTACGTCCATATGGGGCTGAACGATCAGCAGCTGATGGATGTCGATTTGGAACCTTGTCCAAGATCTCCTCAGCTCCGCAATCTTTGTCCCGGGGATTTGAAGCTTTTTATGCAGGTTGAATAGACAACTAAGGATGTTTAAATGTTAAAAGGTGTTTAAAGGTTAAGTATTTAAAGTTTAGTTTTTAAAAAGGAGGTTAGAGCATAATGTTTTTCACTCCCTTTATGGCGTTAAAATCAAAAATGTCAAATTTTAAAATATTTACCATGACGGGGACAGTTTTCCCAGAAAGTGTAAAGGTGATGGAAATGGATTTGACTTTTCTTTCAGCCAGAAAGTATGCAGTATATTGTGCGAGTGTGTGTGCGTGCCGTTGCATAAGCCAGAGGCGTTGTCAAAGGGGGTGCTCTTGACAAGGGGGGGTGAGGTTAACTGTGGAAATGTTGGGTGGCGGAATCTGGCCGGAAAAACATTTCCTCATTTGCTTTAATGCCAAGCCGATTTCGTCGTTTCTACACCCACCACTCTCTCTTTTCTTCGTTCGTCAGTTACATTAATTTTTTTGTTAAAATAATTTAGGTTTTTTGTTTGTTTGTTTGTTTGTTTGTTGAAAATTATGTAATTTTTTTTACTTTTTTATTTTTACAATTTTAAAGGAGCGGCGCTGTCGTCCAATTTACGTCGCCGTCTTCTTCGTCAGTGTTCGTTGTCGTTGCCTCGTTCGTCCTTCGTTTTTATTTCGTCCTCGTACAACAACAACATTAACCAGGATCACCACAACACAAAGTTCCCAAATGCTTTAAAACGATTCGGCCACCTCTAAGGATAAAAAAGACAAGCAGCGAATCAAGAACCGAAAACACCAAATAAAAAGAAACCCAAAAAGCAAAAAAAACAAGTGAAAGGAGGCTCGCAAATTTTTTTTACAAATTTGCAATTACATTTTAAGCACGAAAAGAAGAAGTAGAAGAGGAGCATTGGTGTGAGTGTGTGTGTGGAGAGACCTTCGGCGAGCCTCTCGCTTTTTTCCCGGAGAAACGCACTGTTGTCGGACATTATTTGTCGTGAGTGGAAGAACCCCTCTTGGAATGGCTCTCTTGGAAGGGCGGCAGGACATTAGGGAGCATCAGCAGCAGGATCAGCAGTAAATAACCAAGCTCAAAGGAGACTATATAGGGAGGATCAGGAATAAGGCAACATCAGGAAACAGGAAAGACAGATCAGCCAAAAAATAAATCCGTTGAATTGGAAGACAAACACATTTTATCCCAGAGAATCGCGAACGGAAAGGTGAGTACACGAACACAAAAATTACACGTGAATTTTACCGTATATGCCGGGGTGCTACAAAAATCTCTTCCAACGGGTAATTCCAACAAATTCTGCTCGGGATTTTTGCTTATAACAAAAAATGTTTTCCTAAAATCCCAAAAGTACTTTAAACCCGTTTCAGTGACCATTGTATTAATTATTATAATATAATATTGTAATAATAAAATTGCAGTTTTTGGATGTTAGACGTACAAATATGTTTTTTTTTTGCAACTCCCTTAATTTTTTTTGTTTTAATATTTTAAAAGTTAAATGCTGCCATTTTAAGCACTTTTATTATTTTTAAATAAAAATAAATAAGTTCACAATTTGTTCTGTTTTTTTAAATGGATTTTAATGAGCATAAAAATCTTTACATGCGGTTCCATATTTTAATGCTTAGCATTAATGTGTTTTCCTAATGAAATTAATCGATTTCACCCTCACTACATGATTTCACAGGATCATGACTACTTTGGAGGAGCCTGTCCAGGCGGTGGACACGGTGGATCCGTGTCCCCCGGGGATTCCCAGTCTGAAAAGCGTTCTCAGCGACGATGCCTCGAACTCATCGGTGCTGGAGGACATCGACGTGAGCAACACGAGCAGCAGCAGCTCGAGTTCCAGCAGCTCGAGCTCCAGCTCTGGATCTTGCTCGGGTTCGGCCACGGATACGGACACTGGCAAGGGCAGCAGCACTGTCGGCAGTCTGGATGTGACCAGCTCCTCGAGCATCGGATCGGCGGCTTCCATCTCGTCGACGGGCTCCACCGCCATTGCCGGACCATCCATTCTGCTGGACGACTCAAACTCATCCGGATTGGGACTGGTGGTGGACGTGGACAGTACCGGGAGCAGCCAAGAGCTGAGCAGCCACGGTGTCACCGAGCTGGACTCGCTGGAGGACTCGTGCAACGGCCTAATGATCAAGGACGGAGATAAGCTATGCAAGCTGTGCAGGTAAGTGGATCGAATGGGTTAAACTTTCGTATGATATTTAGATGTGGCAGTGGATAACAACTATTCTAGTGCTAGAAAATAAGTGAAAATGTGCAATTTCTTCGGAACAAAAACATCATTGCTTATATTAGTTTTATATATTATATAGTTGTAACCTGATTTTAATCAAACGGAAGTTTAGTTTGCTTTTTGTCCAATGAGTGTTTTTAATTAAATTTAATTTTAACTAAATAGTACTTAATTTATTCTTAAAAATGTCATCTAATTATCCTACTCTTCGCGACATTCCTATTTAAACTGCGTACTATGTCTTTTTTTTTGCCTTCAGCTCGCGCCTTGTGATGCCGCGTATCCTGTCCTGCCTGCACGTATTCTGCGAGGACTGCCTGCAGGCCCTGGTGTCAAAGGACTCGATGGCGGCCAGTTCGCCGAACAGCTGCTCATCGTCCTCGTTCGACGGCAGCGAGAGGGAGAACCAGCATCGTCTGCCCGCTCTGCTCCTCGAGTGCCCCGTTTGCAAGCAGGAAACGCCATTGGGACCCAAGGGCGTAAAGGGTCTGACCTGCGACTATATCGTGACCAATATACTGGATCTCTCCAATTTGGAGTCCGAGCACATTGTGTGCACCTCATGCAAGAGCAAGGAGGAGGCCATTTCGAGGTGCAACGATTGTGCCAACTTCCTGTGTAATGGCTGCGATAATGCCCACAAGTATATGCGCTGCTTCGAGAACCACCATGTGGTGCGGATCGAGGATCTAACGAAGAACGTCCACGACAAGCTGATCATCCACAAGCCGGTCTGCTGCCGGCAGCATGTGAGCGAGAATCTCAAGTACTACTGCTTCACCTGCCAGGTGCCCACCTGCAATGATTGTCTGCTGAGCGAGCACAAGGGCAACGACCATCACTATGAGACGGCCACGGTGGCGGAGCAGGCGGTACGCGCCGATCTCGAACAGACCCTGATCGAGACGCTGAAGAAGGCGGACTACTGCAACGATGCGGGCGGCAATCTGGGCAGTGCCCTCACGGAGCTCCAGTCGCAGCACGATACGGTGCGGCAGCAAATCGAGGATGCCTACAAGAGCTACAAGCGCGTGCTGGAATCGATCAAGGAGCAGCTGCTCAACGAGCTGGGTCGCCTGCACTCGGACCGCGAGCTGAAGATCATGGATCTGATGCAGAGTCTCGAGAACAATATGGGCAAACTGCAGCAGGCCTCGCAATTTGGCCAACGGGCCATCGAAAAGGCCAATGCCGTGGAGTTTCTGCTGCTCAAGCCCGTCATCAATGCCCAGTGTTTGAATCTCATGGAGCAGACGCCCAACTGCGATGTCAACTATCAGCTGCAGTTTGAATCGAAGCCAGAGAAGTTTGAGCAATTTGCCAGGGAGATGTTTGGCAAATTTCAAACGGATCAAAGTGACTCGAGCCCCAAGAAGCAATCGATGGCACAGCAGCAGCAACAGCAGCAGCAGCAGCAGCAGCAAGTGCAGCATCAGCAGCAGCAGCAGCACCAAGTGCAGCAGCAGCTGCAGCAGCAGCAGCAGCAGCAACAAGCGCAGCAGCACCAACAGCAACAGTTGCAAATGCAGCAACAGCAACAGCAGCAGCAACAACATAGCTCAACCAATTTGATTGTGGGACATCGGGGTAGCTCCTCTGTCCAAGGCCGCCTGAGCTCGGCTGTATTTAGCCCCATCTCGCTGCCCTCCTCGCTGCAGAGTTCCTTCGATGGCGACACCAACGCGGTGATGACCAATTTTACCATGATGGACTCACCCCCGCAGCCATCCACGCAGCAGCAATTGCCATCGGCCCAGCAGCAGCAGTCTCAGCAGCAACAGGCGGTGGTGCTGCAGCAAGTGCAACAACAGCAGAAGCACCAGCAACACCAACAACAGCAGCAGCAGCAGCAGCAGCAGCAACAGCAACAACAGGTGCTGCACCAGCAGCAACCCTCGACCCAATCCTTGCCGCAGCAGATGGCCCAGCTTGTAGCTCCGCAGGGCATTGTCCAGCAGGCTGGACATGTCAATCTCAATGCTGTCCCCGGCCCGAATATATCCATCAATGGCCTCGGCGCCGGCGGTCCGCCGCCCAGCTTCAGCATGCTGGAGTACAATATCTCGCGACTGGCCAGCTTGACGGAGTCAATGCCGGACACCCTCAACGATGCCATGGCCGTCGGAGGAGGTGCAGCCGGACCTGGTCCGAATGTTGCCCAAGTACCAGGGGGTTCAGCCGTGACCGGTGGAGCCGTCGTTGGAGTAGGAGCCTCGCATTCCCATCAGCAGCAGCAGCAGCAGGCCGTGATGCCCGCATCGGCGGTGACTCCCACGCAGCCAATCACTCTGGCGGACATCCTCTCGGGCGACCAGCGGGCGCTCAACAACCTCCAGGCGCTGGCCAAGCTGGGACTCAACAACAATGGTGAGTTCGTGCGATGGCCATGATTACATCACTTTGTCTTCAATCGTTTTGTGATTATTTAAAGGAAGAGCAGATCGGTTAGCTATTAAAATCAGAATATGATTTCTGTTAAATTATTTAAAAACATTTTGCATTTATCAAAAATATATCTTAATATCATTTGTGATTATTTGCCAAGTTTCCACAACGAGATCGATTAGCTATAAAAAAATATTTACCTTCCCAGCATTAAGGAATTTATTTTATTTGATAACTTTGTGATTATTTTAGACCTTGCAAAGATTCAAGAAAAGGGAAACCAATTACCTATTACTGTTGAACAAGATAGGTTTATTTATGTTAATTTTATTTTCCGGTAATTTTAACCTTTGCTTACATTTGCAACTTATTGAAAATTAACAAGTTACATATTTTTTTTGATGATCTTGGAAATATTAGTTACATGATAAAGTCGTCCGTTTTTATATTAGACGCCCATAAAATATGCCATAAACTTAGAAATGTAAAGAAACTGCAGTTGACAGTTAAAAGGCCTAGAATTTATTAAAGGGTAAACTGTTTGTATGTGTGTCTGCATTCAAGGTATGAGTTAAATAACAATTTGAAGCCTGTTATTTAACTATTTCTTATTTCAACTTTTATTGTTTTCAACGGTCCAACCGTTGACAATGCGAATAATGTTATTTTTGTTGTTTTGGTTTCGTTAAATTTTTGAGTTCTTTTTTCTTTTTGCTTTCTGCACAAAATGCAAACCCACACCACCTACACCATCAAAACAAATCAAAACAAAACAAATCCAAACACCATCCACAACACCTGACCTCCCGCAACCACAACCACAACCACCTCTGCGACACCACACACAGATGATGATCTTTTGTTGAACGGATCCTCAACGGGCATTGATTTTTTGGCAGATTTCTGCATGCCACCGGCCACCTCGCCCAGCCTGCAGTCCCTCAATCCGATCGTGGGTGGCGTGGAGGACATGGGACTCAATAACTTCCATGCTGTGGCTGCGCCGGGCACCACCAGTGTGGTCACGGGCCGGAACAAGGCCACTCCCATGCAGATCCGCTGCAAATTCGGTTCGTTGGGCACGGCCAAGGGCCAGTTCAATTCACCCCACGGATTCTGCCTGGGCGTCGACGAGGAGATCATCGTGGCGGACACGAACAACCATCGCATCGAGGTCTTCGACAAGATGGGCGCCCTGAAGTTCCAGTTCGGAGTCGCCGGCAAGGAGGAGGGCCAGCTCTGGTATCCCCGCAAGGTGGCCGTCATGCATAACAATGGCAAGTTTGTGGTTTGCGATCGTGGCAACGAACGATCCCGCATGCAGATCTTCTCCAAATGCGGACACTTCATGCGCAAGATTGCCATCAGGTGAATATATTTTTTATAAAGCAAAGCCTTTGTTCTACAAGCACACGATCTCGTTAAAATTCTTTCATAATACAAATATACAAAATAAGTATAATTGTTTGTTCGACTTATTAAACTTTAAATTTACTAATTAAAATTTTAAGTGAGGGCTTAACTGAATTTAGAAGCTTCAGAATATGTCTCAAAAAACATTTTAACTAAATTTTCATATTCAGTTAAGCCTTTATATATGAAAAATGATTTGCAATACTTGTTAAATTCGCTGACAAATACATGCTCAACTGTTAAAATCGTGTATCGGGAATAAACGGGATCATGGCTTATAGATTTTACTCTAAAACCTTTATAAAATGTGAAGAAGTAATGCTATATTATAGACAAATGTATCAAATAAATGAAAAGTGATTTAAATAAGTAATTTCCTTCGGCAGATACATCGATATCGTAGCGGGATTGGCTGTCACGGCCAAGGGGCACATCGTGGCCGTGGATAGCGTCTCGCCCACCGTGTTTGTGATCTCCGAGGAGGGTGAATTGGTCCGCTGGTTCGACTGCAGCGACTATATGCGCGAGCCCTCCGACATCGCCATACGAGGTGAGTCGAGCCAACGCAGCGAAAACTAAGATATGTATGTTTATTAACTAGTTTTGTTTTCACCTGGCCAGACAACGACTTTTACGTATGCGACTTCAAGGGCCATTGCGTGGCCGTTTTCCAGGACGACGGCACATTCCTCTATCGCATTGGCAACGAGAAGGTCACCTGCTTCCCCAATGGCATCGATATTTCGAATGCCGGGGACGTGCTCATCGGCGACTCGCACGGCAATCGCTTCCACGTGGCCTGCTACTCACGTGAGGGCACCCTTCAGTCTGAGTTCGAGTGTCCCCATGTCAAGGTGAGTCATACTACATGCATGCCATTACAACAACTTAATCACACGAGGAGGTCAGACATGTTGCATAATTAATTTGGAACTTCACAGCCCTCTCAATTATATTTAAAACAAGAACTTGCTTATATTTCGACTCCATCGATGTGCGGAGAGACGAGCTAACACTGATTCATTCGCAGGTTTCCCGCTGCTGCGGTCTGAAAATCACATCCGAGGGCTATGTGGTTACGCTGGCCAAGAACAACCATCATGTTCTAGTTCTGAACACCCTCTATGTTCACTGATTGCAAATCAAAGCGCGCAACAATCGTCCATCAGTCGATATGAACAAATATAACTACAAATACTCGTCGGGCAAGATATACGGATGTCGACGTCAGCAGCAAGCAACCAACAGCAGCAGCAGCAGCAGCAGCAACAACATCAATAGCGATAGCAGTAGCAACATCAACCTATTGGCAAGAAACCAACCTCAGCACTGCAGCAATAGCCACAACAGCATCGGTCACCTGAGCATCGTGAGCAACATGAGCAACATGAGCAACATGAGCAACATGAGCAACATGAGCAACTTGAGCAACGGTAACAGCAGCAATCATCAGCAGCCTTTGACTTCAACATCCACAGTCATTTAATACGAACGTTAATCAAGGAATATCAATGTGTTAACAAATGGAACACTATCTCCTAAACATCAAGATTATTATTAATAGCAAGCGTAACAATCCGCATAGGCATATATGTAAGACAAAGTATATATATGTGCGGAGGGAAAGCAAAATCTCGAAACACCAAAAATCCTTCTACCACAACAAATGTTGCCGATTGTGAGACAGAGCAACTATATAAAAACCAATAACAAATGATAAACAAAATGCAACAAATACTATTTTTGATCTCTAATTTAAAAACAATTAGCGCTACTACTAAAAACAAACATCAACAAATCTAACAAAGAAAAACAAAAATATTTTACTTAGTATAACGAATAACAAACAAAAACAAAACAAAACAAAACAACAAAACAAAGAAAACAAACGATAAAAACTTGGGATATTTTCAAAATGTTTTTTAAAAACTCTTTTTAAATTGTTTTTGATTATGCTTTTTTCATTGAATTTATGTTCTTGTTAAAAATTGTCATAACACACTCACACACACACACACAAAAGCCACACTCACACAAACACTACTACTTTACATGTTACTTATTATCTATATAGACATACATATTGTTATATCGACCGATTAGCTTTTTTGTGCATACCCTTCCAGAATCTTTTTCTAAAAACAAAAACAAAAAAAAAACAAACGAAACACGCATATATATATCTACACCTATGTAAACTTAGCAAAATGTGCAACTTTTGTGCACAGGTTTTTTGCTAACTAATAAGGAAGGAAAATAGCCAGGAGTAAATAATTTGTTGAGGGCGTCATCAGAAGTCGCGTACAGGCAATAATTATAGAAGAAGATGAAATCTAAGTAGTTTATTTTGATTTCAAACTGAAACCAAATCACTAAGATAAAAATTCAGAAAATAAAAAACTGTTTAGGTTTTTTCCTTACGCTGCTTATATAAGGTGATATCTATTTATATATAAATCTATATGAATATATGAAAAACAAAACAAAAACTATATATCTTAAACATATATGTGAAATCCTATGACTATATGACTTTGCCATATAATATACAAAGCAGGACAAGAGAGTAGGGAGTTAGGCATAGGGATAGCGAGGGACGGATGACGAAAGGAGGCAACACACACTACACCACATGGCAGATATGTGTCCACGAATATCCAAAGACCCAGAGAATACATTCGATATGTATCAACTAATTGCGTTCTTCAGGCAACACATCCAACAAGAACCTACAGACAACAAACTCAACATACAAATTAATCTGTAAGCTAACAAACCAAACAAAATGAATGCAATTCGCATATGGCCAACAACTATAATAGCTAAAACAGCAGAGACAACAACAACACAACAACAACAAGCGTTAAAAAAAACCTACAAAGAAGAGAAAAACGTATCTGTTAAGTTCTTATATACATTGTTAAACAAAAAACAAACGATATTCCTTTTCCTTATATACAATACAAATGCAACACACGTGCATATTATCGACATACACACCACACCACACCACACCACAACAAAACATAAGAGAACACCCACAACACTCACGATTTATATAGACGATATAGACAACCATTTAAGATGATATATGTACGGATACATGCAACATTTCTTTCCCGTTGTAATACAATATAAGGCTGGTTTACTCCCAAGACATTATTATTTATCTATATACAAAATAACATTTTTTAATTGTGTGAATTTTACCATGTGAGAAACGATAGGAAGAACAACATGTGGCGTTTTATTTAGATGAAGTTGAGCGAGAAAGCAAAGCGAAGCAAGCAACTTATTTTTTATAGGCTGTAACCACATTTATTATACATCCACATCCACTTTAACATATACACATACATTTACACCACACACTCACTTACACAACATACAACGAAACGAATCCTTTTTTATTGTAAACAATATCCTGTTCGTTTTGTTCAAAACTATTCGATTCCTTTTCAATGTTTTAAACAGCAAAAAAATAATGTTAATCCCATCTTTTGCATTTGTGTTTCACAATGCGAAAAGAAATGTGAAAAAACTGTTTTAAATCTTGTCATTTTTTATTTTTAATTCTAGTTTTAGCATATACACAACACAAAACCATGAAAAACGCGTTTATGTTTATGTAAAATGTTAAGTTGTTCTAAAAAACCAAAAAAAAAACGATAACGAATAAAATTTGCTTAATAATCATTACTACTGTCATATTTGTAATTCTAATTATTTTTGTTTAGTTTTTACGTTGTTACGTGTGAGGCTACACAATTCTGTATACATAATTATAATTTAGACTAAGTATCTATAAACAACTTCAACAACCAATGTGAAACGCTTTTGATTATGTTATACCACTGAAATTACAAACATTATAACTGTAATCATTACAATTAAAACAATGTACCCCAAAGTTGTTGATGGTAGGTGAGAAGGTCTTAGAATGAAAGGGACGATAATGAGCGAAAGAGAGAGGGTAAAAAATGCAATTTTTTTTGTGAAACAATTTGGCTGTTGAAATATATAATTTTTAATTTAACTATGTTTTTGCATTTCGTTTATTAACTTAGGACCTCAAGCAAATGTTATAATATTGAACGGAATTTATCGCGAAATCTATTGGATTTCAGTTCACTTTTCCTTAGACTTTTCCTCTTCCAATTTCGCATAAATATTTTTATTTTTGTCGTTGCATTAACTACGAAAGTATTAAGAGAAAACATTTTGCTAAAGACAATGATAACACTCAAATGCAAAGTATACCAAAAGATTTGTTTGTAATTCCTTCTAATCATATTTGTATTCTACTTTTTACTTCGCCGTGGAAGTTACTTTATTGTTTTTAATTTTGATTTTATTTTGCTTAATACTTTGTCTTTGCCTTAGTCAACAAGGTTTCTGTAAAAACCAAAAAAAAAAAGCAAGCTCGAAAACTGTTATAGAAAAACGTAAAAAACCAACAAAAAACACCATTTTACATATGTTTCTAGTTTTTATGGAAATCCTTCAAATGAAATTGTAATTCCACACGCTTTTATTTTATAAACTAAACCGCTACATAAAGAGGAAAACATTTATTATCTTAATTTTGTGTTTAATTATTGTTTCTCTCTCTTTGTTAAACCACAAAATGGAAAAAGTCAAATGTTGCTTAAATGAAAATTTTAAATTTTAATTTAAGATCAACAAGAAAATGATATTAAGTGAAACCGTATATGATTTTTATGCAATGCGTTTAAAAAAAAAACACTTCCACACCAAACACACAAAACAAAAAAAAAAAACGAAACAAAAAACAACAAATTTATTTCCTATGGCATACAAATTTTTAAGTGAAAAACCAAATAAATATATTTGTGCTTAAGTTTAAATCAAATTTACAATTTAGTTGAGATTACGCAACTTAACGACGATAACATTTTACTAACTACGTATAAACTATAGGATTTCTAGCGAAAATATATATATATATATATTTACACACCTGTATATATTTGTATTATGTATACAGTTATGTACGATTAGCGAATGGCCCAGAAAGGGGGCGTGGCCAGGAGAGGGGCGGTAATAGCACTAGTCAGCGACAATTACCAAAAAAAAAACGAAAACCGAACAGCAAATTTAACGATTATTAAAAACCGGAGCAACAATAGTGATTGAAAAGAGCGGAACATGGACAAACTTTTGGACAAAATGCCATTTAACGTTAACGTTAACGTTAACGTAAACATTAACGATACGAACACCGACTGACGAAAATTGACCAACGCCGCCCTCCCACCCCCTTCTCCGCCCCCACGCCACCCACTGCGCTTTAATTTTCAAGGCCGAAAGCTGCAAGAAGCAATAAAAACCACAAATCTAAAATGAGAACGAAAATGAAAATAATGTACGAAATCGTGTGAGGAAAGAGATATTTTCTTAGTTGCTTACTGTGTATAATGTGACAAAGTGAAAGCTTTCCACCTCAACTCTTTACATATATATAAATCACATGTACTGTTTTAAAACAAATATATAATTTTCGATTCGTATTTCCTGTACTTTATGGTTTTTACTTTACTTTGATGTACTCTCAGCGAAAGTAAAACAAAAGAAGATTCAAACAAATTGTGTACAACTAATTAGGAAATACTTAACTTTACACAGACAAAAACAACACACATGTTTCTCAATCACTTGATATAGTTACGTTAATTTCTAATCGACACACGCATATTATTATATAACTATATCTAAATATAGTCAACAATTGGCAAGATCAAATCGAGAAATCAAGCGAATGAAGTACGAACCCTTTAATAAAGATGCTGCCAAAGATGTTTTATACAATCGATGTAAAAAATTCGGAGAGAGGAGAAAAGCGATAAGAACCATTTTAGAATTACTGCAAAGTGAAATATTAAATATTGTCCACCTTATTTTTACGATTATTATTTTATTAGTTTGGTCAAATGTATTAATTTTGTTCTTTTTTTGTGGTCAAAATAAATGGAAAGGAAAACAAAAACGAGACATTTTTTGAGACTTTTGCTCAAAAGACAAAAACAGAAATGTAAAGCAGCGCTTTAACTGAAACTAATTACTAACGATAACCGAACCTAAACACAATTAACAATATCGATAACGCAGTATTTGAAGCTGGATTT